TGACTGCGAGACCCCCAGCAGCGCGTCCTCCCCCGCTGCTGCTAGTCTTTGAGGGCAGTCTCCTGGGTGGCGACAGGGAGGCTACCTAACAGCCAGGGGTGTCTGGGGCAGCCCGGGTGCCCCTGTGTCCAGGAGTGGTTGGTAGCAGTGCCTCCCTCACTCCCCGGAGGGTTCTGGCTTGGACAGTAAGTTGTGTGCTCTCCTGCGTGGAGGCTGTCTCTGGGGAAGGGGGAGCATGTCTAACTCCTGGGGAGCGGTCTCAGGCGAGGGCTCCCCAGACTTGGCCGGGAGCCTGTGGGATGACCAGACGCCTCCTCCCGTGTCTCCCGAGGGTGGCCGGGTGGCACCTGCTACTTCTCATTCATGTATGTTACGCCTCATGGCAACCTGCACTGAGGGTGGTGAGCTGCATCTCCTGGACTGAGGACCCCTGGAGTCACTGCTGCTCTTCTGGGGGTCCCAGGGAACTGGGTGCCTCTGAGGGGTTTGTGGCCAGCAGCGAGCAGCCCGGAGCAGAGCCGTCCCGTCAGTTTCCCTGGGAGTGTCTTCCTGCAGCCGGAAGGGATTTGTAATTTTGCTGTTGTGTCCAGCGTGGGCCCTGCCTGGAGCCTAGGGTGCTGAGTGTGAAGCTTGGTGCCCCCGGTCTCAGCGCTTTGTGTGTGTAACTCTGCTCAGCCTCCTGTCGGCTGCCATCTCCCCATTGCACAGAGGGACAGCTGAGGCTCGGGGGATCACGTGAGCAGTCAGGGAGGAGCCAGTGTTCAGACCCATCCGCCTGCTCCACCCTCTGCCTTCAAGGCAGGGGTGGGGTGCGTCCTGCTCTCCAGAAGCATTCGCTCCTTCCTGCCTGCCTCCCTCCTCTCCCCTCTCTCCTCTCCCCTCCCCTCCCCTCCCTTCTCTCCCGCCTCCCCTAAATCGCCTACCTCATCTCTACTCTCCTCTCCTCCACTGACAGCCCTCCTCCCTCTCACCTTCTCTCCCACTCCCCCCTCTCCCTTCTCCTCCCCTCCCTTCTCCTTCCTCCCCTTTTCCTCCTTTCCTTTCTCTTTCTCTAAGATTTATTTATTTATTTCTTTGAAAGGCAGAGTTACAGAGAGGGGGAGAGAGAGACAGAGAGATCTTCCTTCTTCTGGTTTACTCCCCAAATGGCTCTCATGGGTGAGGCTGGGCCAGGCTGAAGCCGGGAGCCAGGAGCTCCATCCGGGTCTCCATATGGGTGACACGGACCCAAGCACTTGGGCCACCTTCTGCTGATTTCCCAGGCGTGGTGGCAGGGAGCTGGATCGGAAATGGAGCAGCTGGAATTCACACTGGAGCTCATAAGGGGTGTGACCCTCTGTGCCACAGACCTGGGCCCGGGAACCTTTAGTCTTTAGGGGTGACGTAAACGAGGCTGTTCCCAGTTTTCCCATCTTGGAGGCCCCTCTTCTGCAGTCGGTCAGGGATGGACCTTTTAGAAGCAGCTCGGTCACTTGCTCAGTCCCGTTTAGGATGGCACCCTGCGTGAGGGCACAGGCAGATGCTAGGTAGACGCAGTTCTCACCTGGAGGCTGCAGGGGAGGTAGAGTAAGGGGATACCAGCAAGCGAGGGCAGATAAAGGGCTGTGCTGTGTCAGCTGTCGGAGGCAATCAGAAAAGGCTGCCTGGAGGAAGAGGGGTTTGAGACGAGCATAGAAGGGTGATTTAAGTTCACGGGGTTGGCAGTGGCCAGGTGAGGTGCTGCGTGTACGTGAGCAGGGGTGGGCTCTGGGAGGAGAGGGTGAGTGAGGGCCAGGCTTCTCAGGGTGGTGAGGCGGACAGGGGAGGAGAGGGGAGGAGAGGTGGTGGCCTGGGGTCGTGGGCGGCAGCCCTAGCAAGGCAAGCCATGGCTGGGAAGGGTCTCTGTTTCTGCAGCGCCCACAGGAGTGCGGGGGTGTGGGGAGCGTAGGGGACTGCAGAGCCGGCCAGGGCTTGGGGACAGAGATGAGGGTGGGCGGTAGAGGGGGCCTTGGAGCCAGGTCACAGCAGGTGGGGAGGGACCACTTGGGGACAGCGCTAGCTGCTCTGCAGTGGAGGCGAGGTGGCGGGAGGCCCAGGCCATGGTACCCACCTGCTGGGGTTCTTGGAGGAGACAAAGGTGTCATTGTCACCTTCCCTGAGTTCCCTGCATTGCCATCCCCACCCGCCTTCGGGTCAAACCCACGGACTGCGTCCTCCCTGGTTCCATGACTGGGGATCCCAGGTCTCCTGGCTGTGATATGGCCAGGGTGACGTCCTCCTTGCAAGGAGGAGGCGCCAAGTTCTTGTCTGTTGCCCGTAGCACAGCGCCCAGCACACAGTAAACACACAGAAACCCCAGCGCTCTCGTGGGTGTGGCTGCTTTCCTGCAAGGCCACCTCAGGCTGTCCCCTTCCTCCACTCGGGTGGGCGTGCGACCTTGACCGTTCTCTGTGACCTTGCAGCTCTGCAGCCCGGGCTCCCTCCCAGGGTCTGCTCAGACTTGAGCGCCTCTGCTGGCAGCCTTGCCCTGGCCCCGGGGCTCCGCCCTGCTGACAGCCGTGCCTTGCTGAGCGCGCTCACAGCGGTGCCATCCGCTCCAGCCGGGGGGAGCCAGTCCCGAGTGCCAGACCCGAGTGCCTCTCCCTGCTGTTTGTTAGGAAGCCGTGGGGGGGAATTTTGGGAAACCAACGTCACCTCCCACTTTGCTTCCTTTGTGTCTGCAGAGCCCAGGGGCCGGTTTGTGCCACGCGCCCACTCTCGTGCCCTCTTGGGCTCTTGCACAGCCTGCCCACGCTGCTCCCCGGCAGAGCCCCTGCCGCCGCCTGCTCGGGGCTGGCAGCTTTCGCCTCTGAGTCAGGACCTGTGAGTGTTACTTAGAGACTGTGCGGGAGCTGAGGAGGTTCCTGTGAAGCTGGGATGATAATGACACTTTTTAAAGACAGCCAAAGAGCCCGGAGGACCAGGTGTCCCCAGGAGGCGCCTGCACAGCTCCCTGCGGGCTCCCGGTGCTGTGCGGTGGGCGGGGGCAGGGGCAGGGGCGGGGCAGGCGGCCCCAGCGGTTGGTCTCAGGAGCCTCTGCCTGGCGTCCCTCTGTGGGCTCATCTTCCACCTGCTCCCTGTGCATCTGGCTTGGAGGGGCCTAGGACAGGGCTGGGGCTGCTGCAGCCAGCCTCTGTTTGCCAGAATGGGCAGCAGGATGTGGGCAGGTCACACTGGCCCCAAAGCCAGCACCTCCCAGTGGCCAGCCCAGGTCCTGTTGGCCCTCCCAGGACCTTCTCCAGCCTCTTTCCCTTCCGGGCTTCCAAAGCCACCTGCAGGCCTGCCGCCTTTGCCAGCGCGGAGGTACTGGCATTCTCCAGCATCTCGGGGCCTTGCTACCGCTCAGAGCTCTGCTCAGCCACAATCTCATCCCTGTGGGGCCGGGGACACAGGGTTTCCAGCTCCTGCAGGGGCCTCAGGAGGCTGTGACGGGCCCGAGGTCATCCAGCCGGTCTGTGGCAGAGCTGTGACCAGCATGTCCCAAGGCCCAGCTCTGGGCTGCCTGCTTGTCCCGCACCGCCGGTGGCCTGTGCATCTGTTTGGCTGATGCCAGTTTGGGTGGGGAGGCGAGGGCTGAGCTCCTGAGCTCCAAGAGTGAACCTGCTGCAGGGTGCCCTTGCCAGCCTCGCCTCCCCTCCGGGCTTTCATTTCCCCTGTGTGTGTGTGGGTGCGTGGAGGCACTGGGAGGTGGTGTGGGCTCAGTGATTGATGCACTTAGAGAGCTGTGATGGGGTCGTGTGGCCTCGGACCCCGGCCTGGAGCACAGTGGGGGGGGGAGGGCAGCTGGCAGCCCCTCCCCTCCAGCCCCAGCAGCTCAGGACCCTGCCCTCCATGGCCCGTGTCCGCCGTGGGGGAAGGGATCCCCTTGACCAGAGTTCGCATCCAGTGCCTGGAGTGTGTGGCCATGTGTGTATCGTCCGAGGCCGCCCTTGTATGTGAACTTGCACTCCCGGGCCCCCTGGCAACGGCTACGGGTTGAGTTTCTCGATTTTTCGAGGGGACGCTCTGTCTCATCTGGTCCTCGGCACCCCCTTCCTGCCCTCCATTTCTGCCTCGATCCGCAGTGCCCTGCAGGGGCCAGGATGGGTCAGGACGAAGGGGCCTGGTCTCTGTTTCCCCTCTGGGTTCAGCCCTGGCACAGGTCGCAGGCTGTCCCTTGTCTGACCTCTGCCCTCTCGCTGGGTCCAGACGCCCTCCTGTGTGTCTGCCCCGGGAGGAGGAGGAAAAGGACTACGTGTGGGATGTGTCAGGTGACTCCGAAGGTGGAGTCAGATGGAGGCCTGCAGACGGCGGGCAGGGAGGCTGGCAGCCGATGGCGGGAGAATGCCAGCCGCAGGCTGCCTTTCTTCTAACAGTGCCCTGTGCCCTGACCACTGGGCTTTCCTCCGTCCCTGGAGCCAGGCTGTGCACATGCAGGCAGCGCCAGTGATGGGAGAATCCACGGAGGGAGCAGATCCCAGCCGCTAGAGGGAGGCCCTGCCCCCACGCACAGGGCGTAGGCCGAGCACGCAGAGGGGAGCCTGCCGTGTGCCGTGCGCCTCCTTGGCAGCTTGCACAGGCGGAGAATGACTGGATTATGGGCGCTGTAGCAGGTCAGGGCTCCGGGCCTGTCCCAGTGCCCTGTGGGTGCCTCTCCAAGGCCTGAGTGTGCTGTGCCAGCGATCAGGGCAGGAGCTGTTACCGTGGGAGTCCAGCCTCTGCGGGACTCACCCTGCTGCCCCTTTACACTGGCCTTGGCTTGAGTGTGGGGGCGGGGCGGACACCCCACTGCCTGCCCCCCCACCCCAGGTCTCCAGGCAGCCCATTCACTGCTGCCTCCCTGTCTATATTTGGTCTGCGGGCAGCCAGGCGGCTGGCAGTGTGCTTTCCGGGGCGCCTCCCCAGGGCCAGCACCCCACCGCTCTGGTAGGTTCCGGGTTCTGCCTCTGCCCCAGCCCCCCTCCCCGCCCAGCGGGTCCTCACAGCCGGTTCTTCCCCCGCAGGCCACAACGCCCGCCCGGAGAAGCGATGGATGTCACCAGAGCCAGCTGGGACTCTGCCTGTGTCTGGCGCTCCGTGTAAGCACAGGACCGCCTTGCAGCCCGGCTGGCCCTGCCTGTCATGGCCACACGGTGGGGACCCAGGGCAACCAGGCCCAGCCCCCAGAGGCTAAGCCAGGCCTCCTGGCTGCGGTCCACAGGGGCGCCCCGGCTCCCAGGCCCCTCTCAGAGCCTCAGCGACTGATGCCATGGGAGAAGCCCCTGCCCAGCTGCCCGCTTGCCTGGCGCTGCCCGCTCCGAGACTCAGGCCCTGGGTCCTCCCAGAGGCGGCGTCGCCCCTGTGAGCCTCTCCCCGGGCCCCTGACGCTGAGAAGGCCCTGCCCACCCCCACTATGTGCGAGGTGATGCCCACAATCAACGAGGGGGACCCCCTGGGTCCCCCACACGGCGCCGATGCTGACGCCAACTTCGAGCAGCTGATGGTGAACATGCTGGACGAGCGAGAGAGGCTGCTGGAGTCCCTGCGGGAGAGCCAGGAGACCTTGGCCGCCACGCAGGGCCGGCTCCAAGATGCACTGCACGAGCGGGACCAGCTCCAGCGCCACCTTAACTCCGCCCTCCCCCAGGTAAGGCCTGAAAGTCTGCATCTCCCTGAGCAGGACCCTCGGCTCCTCTGCGTCGGTTTGCATATCAGCACTTGGAATTCCCAGGGCAGAAGTCTCGCTCATTGTCGTCCTTTTGCCTACATCCCCTCAGTCTGGAAGTGGCTTTCCCTGTAGGAACAGAGGGAATTTGGTGCAGAACCCAGCCGTAGTTGTCAGCTGCAGTGGCCCCAGGAAACCAGCAGGTGGCACCCTAGACCGGAAAGAACCCCCAGGCCTGCTTGCTCCCCAGTGGTTCCCTATTGGAGGTGGCGGTGGGGGTTTCAGACAGCAGAGATGGGGAGAGCCTCAGAGAGCGTGGGGTCCAGCATCCTTACTGCACAGGCGAAAAAGGCAAGATATGGCACACAGGGAATTATGGGCAGAGCCGATCTCTGGAACCCCTTTGTTTTTATTTTTATAGAGATTTATTTATTCATTTGAAAGAGTTACAGAGAGAAAAAGAGAGAATGAGAGAGGAGAGAGAGAGAGACAGAGAGAGAGACAGAGAGAAAGGAGTCTTCCATCTGTTGGTTCACTCCCCAAATAGCTGCAACAGCTGGGCCTGGGCCTGGCTGAAGCCAAGAGCAAGGAACTCTGTCCAGGTCGCCCACGTGGGTGCAGGGACCCACGCACTTGGGCATCTTCCACTGCTTTCCCAGGCCGTAGCAGAGAGCTGGATCGGAAGTGGAGCCTCAGGGACAGGAACCTGCGCCCATATGGGATGCCGGCACCGCAAGGGGTGGCTTACCCTGCTATGCCACAGCGCCGGCCCGCACCCCTTTCTCAAACTCTGCCCCGGCACAGGCCCCCGCAGCCACCCCTTGCTGTGTGTTTTCTGTGTACTGAACGCTCTGAGTTATCTCACCAGTTTCTCAGCCTCATCCCGTGTCACAAGTGGGGGAGCTCAAGCTTGGGAGGGGCATTCACGGACTGCTTGCAGCCAGCCAGTTAGCAGGGGGCAGCGGGAAGAACTCGGGCTGACGATCCAGCCACTCTGCCCCGAGTCCACTTCCCTACGCTGGCCCTGAGCCCTGGCTGCTTCCCGCCCAGACGGCGTCTGGCAAGACGGGGGAGCAGGAGCCTGGGGTGGGGGCCTTGGGCCAGCTGCCTGCTGGGTCCAGGAAGCCGTGAGCTCTGCGGAGGAGCCAGGCCCAGGGAGGGCTGGGATTCGTCTGTGAGCACAGGGCAGCTTGCACACAGCGGCTGTGTGAGCCTCCTGCCTCTGCATCTTCTCTGGCAGGAGGAGAGAGACGAGTGTTGGAAACCAGGCCCTGCGCTCAGCCTGGGCCTCCCTGGGCCCTTGGGGGGAAGCTGGGGTTGGGGGAGGGGAGGAGCTGCCCAGCTCATGCTGCAGGCGCCCTGGCTCCGCAAGAGGAGCGAAGACCCAGAGCTGGGCCTGGGCTCCCGCCTGCTCGGAAGCCATGGCCGACCGCGTCATGTGATGTTTTATCAGTGAAGGTACAAGGCCCTTGGGGCAGGCACGGTGGCGCAGGGGTTAAGCAGCGTGTATCCAAATGCCTGTTTGAGTCCTACCTGCTCCACTTCTGATCCAGCTTCCTGCTAATGCATCCTGGGGGTCAGCAGGTGATGGCCCAAGTACCTGGGCTCCTGCCACCCATGTTAAGACCTGGATGGAGTTTTGAGTCCCTGGCTTTGGCCTGGCCCAGCCCAGGCTGTTGGGGGGGACATGTGCAGAGTAAACCAGCAGAAGGGAGATATCGCTCTCTCTCTCTTTCTGTATCACTCTGCCTTTCAAGCTGGTGAAAATAAATAAGCATTTAAAATAAAAAACAAATAGTGTGAGCCCTGGTGAGCAGCTGGGTGGGCAGGTGGCCCCTCCTACTCGTTGTGCACGAGGTCCCACGGCTACCGGCGCAGCGGCCATGTGGTTCAGGGCCTGCCCGACTTCCTGTGGGGGAAGCTTCACGGTGGGTGGGGGGGCATGGTTGGGCCTCTGTCATCACAGTGTCCCCGGCCCCCAGCACGGGACATCATGTGTGAGTGGCCAAGGGATGGCGCCCAAGCTGCTGCTGTTCACCGCTGCTTCACAGCTCCCCCAGACGGGCCTGCTTTCCTGCTGGGGCCGGGGGGCTGCTGAGTGCAGGGGCAGGGTTGGGGTCCAGGGCAACCGAAGGACACTGTGAGAGAGAAGAGTGGGTGCTTAGGACGTCATCCTGTGGCTGCTGTCAGATGGGTGATAGCTAGGGAGCAAGGGGACGGGAGTCCGGGAGGGAAGGAGCACCAGACCCAGGTGTGGGGCTGGGAACGGGCCGGGGCATCCTCGGGAGGGGAGGAGCACCAGACCCGGGTGTGGGGCTGGGAACAGGCCGGGGCATCCTCGGGAGGGGAGGAGCACCAGACTCGGGTGTGGGGCTGGGAACGGGCCGGGGCATCCTCGGGAGGGGAGGAGCACCAGACTCGGGTGTGGGGCTGGGAACTGGCCGGGGCATCCTGTCAGGGTACGTGTGTGTGTGTGTGAGTGTGACCGTGCGTATGCACGTGGATAACCTGAGGAGGGACGCAGCATCGAGCCCCATGCCATGGCCTTGAGCCACGCAGGAATGGGGTCAGAGGTCGCGTGTTTCTCACGCTGTGGCATCTCTGGTCCCTCATCCCTTCCCTCTCTTGTCTCCCAGTCTCCTTTTTTTTTTTTTTTTTAATTTTATTTATTTATTTGACAGGTAGAGTTACAGACAGTGAGAGAAAGAGAGAGAGAGAGACAGAGACAGAGAGAGAGGTCTTCCATCCGCTGGGTCACTCTCCAAATGGCTGCAGCAGCCGGAGCTGCACTGATCCGAAGCCAGGAGCCAGGAGCTTCTTCTTGGTCTCCCAAATGGGTGCAGGGGCCCAAGCACTTGGGCCATCTTCCACTGCTTTCCCAGGCCATAGCAGAGAGCTGGACTGGAAGATGAGCAACCAGGACTAGAACTGGCGTGCATATGGGTTGCCGGTGCCGCAGGTGGAGGATTAACCTAGCGTGCCACAATGCCGGCCCCTCCCAGTCTCCTTTGCTGGCAGCGAGCAGAGGTTGCTTTGGGAATTGTTCCCTTGGTTGTGAGTCCTCGGTGTGTGAGGGCGGCTGCAGTGTCGGGTGGGCCATAGCCTCTGCCCAGTTGCTCGCAGGCCTTGGGCAGCCACGGAGGGTGGGCCCCTCACCTGGAAGCTGTTCTAGAATGGGAGAATTTGTGGGGAAAAGGTTAGGATGGGCCTGGGATGGTGGGGCCAGCCTCTTACCCCTCTGCTCCTCCTGGGGCAGGTGGGGGGCAGTGGGCACCCCCCCCCCCCCCGCCGAGGAGAGACGAGATGCGTGGGTATTAGGTCAGGGCAAGGGTTTTGGCATCAGGGGTAGCCCTGGCCCGAGTGAGCAGGGCCTTCAGGAACCAGGGCTGAAGCTCGGGCGGAGCTGGGGCATCAGGCAGGGGCCTCCGCTCCGCCTGCTTTGTCAGCCGCCCGCAGCCTGCAGAACTTGGGGGACAGGTGGGAGAAACTTCTTGGGTGCCTACTCCGACACCATACTCAAAACTCCCTTCTCTTGCTCTGATACCCATCCGCTCCTGTCTGGACCTTGCTCCCCAAAACAGGGGGCAGATCTGCCCTCTGTCTCTCTCTTTTCTAAAGATTTATTTGTATTTGTTTGCAAGCTCTTCCATGTGCTGGTTCACTCCCCAAATGGCCACAACAGTGGGCCCAGGGCCAGGCTGAAGCCAGGGGCCTGGAGCTCCATTCGGGTCTCCAGCAGGGGCCCAAGCACTTGGGCCATCTTCTGCTCTTGTCCCAGACACATTAGCAGGGAGCTGGATCAGAAGTGGAGCAGCCGGGACTTGAACTGGTGCCCGTTTGGGGTGCCGGCGACACAGGTGGCGGCTTTCCCTGCTACCACAGGCCCCTCCATCACTTTCTAAAGCCGAGTGTCGCTGAGTTGCAGGAGAAAGGGAAGGGCCAGTGTGTGTAGGGGAAGGGACTCTCACTCTTGTGTCTACCTCGGCTCCCTCGTGTCCTGATGCATGCTTGGTCTGCACTCGGACTTCCCTGGGGAAGCACCTGCTGGCCACAGCTCTGCGGCCCTGCAGTGGGGGTGGAGCTTTGTGCCGGGGAGGGGTGGAGGTGAGGGATGAGGGAGAGGAGCCCTCCACAGCAGGTGGGCTGGACAGTGCCCAGAGGCTGCATCCCCAAGCCCTGAGGGACCTTGGGGTTTTCAGGAATTTGCCACCTTAACCCGGGAGCTGAGCATGTGTCGGGAGCAGCTTCTGGAGCGGGAGGAAGAGATTTCGGAGCTGAAAGCAGAGCGGAACAACACCAGGGTGAGTGGGCGTGGCCTGGAGTGTGTGTGTGTGTGTGTGTGTGTGTGCACGCGCGCGCACGCTCTTTTCCAGCGTGTCCTTGTGCGCACTCGGTGAGCAGGTGGGCCCCGTGTGCAGCCCCCAGGGCACGGGCTCCCAACTCTCCTCTGGCCCTCGCTTGCTCCCCGCCAGCTGCTTCTGGAACATCTGGAATGCCTGGTGTCCCGGCATGAGCGGTCCCTGCGGGTGACCGTGGTGAAGCGCCAGGCGCAGTCGCCTTCGGGCGTGTCCAGCGAGGTGGAGGTGCTGAAGGCCCTCAAGTCGCTGTTTGAGCACCACAAGGCCCTGGATGAGAAGGTACTGTCTCCACGACATTCCCCTGCCCGCCCGGCCTCCCCTCCCTCCCTCAGGTGTCTGCTTGTAGCGTTTGGGGAAACCTCTGGCTTCAGAGCCCACTCCGTCCCACCGGTGACCCAAGTTCAAGGTCCTCTGTTGGGTTCCCTATGGAAATTTGTCTTTGGGAGGCCTCTCACTTTCCTCCCTGGCTGACAGCAGCAGACCAGGCCCCACCCCTCCACCCTGCGTGCAGAGGGGTCCCCTCCCTTCTTCTATCTCGCCTTCCCTTGGGCAGGTGCGGGAGCGGCTCCGGGCAGCCCTGGAGCGAGTGACGACCTTGGAGGAGCAGCTGGCAGGAGCCCACCAGCAGGTAAACTGCCTGGGCCCCTTGGTCAGCGCCCTGCAGCTCTTGGACGCCCAGACTGCTTCAGTTCTGGGCTCTGCGCCTCCCTGGGCTTCTCCCTGCTGTGGCTGAGGGCCGTAAGCCCAGGCTAGACCGGCACCTCTTTCTGGGAGGTGGGGCCGCAGAAGAGTCTGGAACGTGTGGGAGGGTCTCGCCTCCAGGACTCATGTGCCCTACAGGTGTCCGCCCTGCAGCAGGGGGCAGGGGTCCGGGATGGAGCTGCAGAAGAGGAGGGGATGGCAGACATGGGGCCGAAGCGCCTGTGGAAGGTGGGTGCCGGGAGCTGCCCGTACCCCCCAGGAATACGGAGTGGAGGCCCTGCCCTGCCTCAGTTCAGTAGAGCAACTGCTTGAATTCAACTTGAGGCTTTCTCCACTATTCCCACTTCTTCTTTCTCCCTCCCATTTCACCTGCAAAGAGAGTTTTGTTTTGGTGCCCAGCGTACCGCTGGGCATGCCATGCGCTTGTCCGCCTCTGCTCTGCGGGGCCCCTAGCTCAGGGGTCAGCAGCAGGCAGGATTCCTTCTTTGTCCCCCCACCCCCAGCCCCCAGGCCCCTTCTGGGTTACGAGAGGTAACTGAGACAGCAGGCAAGGCCAGAAAGTGCTGATCTGCAGGATTCAGGGGAGAGCGAGGGTGTTTGCTCATTGCGGTGTGTGTGGAGGGGGAGTTCCTGGGCCCCCAGGGGAAGGAAGGTGAACTTGGAGGTGTGCTGTGATGTCTGGGGGGGCAGAGCTCTGATCTGCTCCGGGGTGGGGCAGGGGAGTGAGTGACCCTGGCTCCCTGGAGACTGATGGCTCACTGTCCCCCGAGGATGGCGTGGGCCGGGTGGAGGAGCTGCAGGAGCTCCTGGAGAAGCAGAACTTTGAGCTGAGCCAGGCCCGGGAGCGACTGGTCACCCTGACCGCAACCGTGGCTGAACTTGAGGAGGACCTGGGCACAGCCCGCCGGGACCTCATCAAGTCGGAGGAGCTGAGCGGCAAGCACCAGCGGGACCTGCGGGAGGTGCGCATGGGCGCAGGCATTGGCGCTCAGGACGGTGTGGGCGGAGGGCGGGGCAGGGCCGGGGCAGCTAAGACCCAATGCCTGGCGGGTCCGGCGCGGGGAGGAGGGACGAGGGGGGGATCATGCTGGCCGGTGTTGGGGGCAGATGCATAGAGGGGGAGGTAGGGGAGGGGCTGGTGACCTCCCTTCTTGTCCCCTGTGCTGCCCCCAGGCTCTGGCCCAGAAAGAGGACATGGAGGAGCGAATCACCACGCTGGAGAAGCGCTACCTGGCTGCTCAGCGGGAGGCCACGTCCATCCACGACCTCAACGACAAACTGGAAAACGAGCTGGCCAACAAGGAGTCCCTGCACCGCCAGGTAAGGCCTCCCCCTGGGGTGCGGTGGGCATCCTGCCTGACCCTCGAGGTCCCAATGTCGCTTGGGGGCCCAGGAGCCCCTGGGGTCCTGCAGGTCAACTCGGGGCAGGGGAAGTCAGGCATCTTGGACAGCCGAGGACCCAGATGGTCCCTTGCTGCTTCTGACCCGTCACCTGCTCTCTGCTGAGGCCGGGGGGCGTTGTGCTCCATTCTGAGTCACGTCTCCACCCCTCCCCGTCCCTGTCCCCCCCCCCCCCCCCCCCCAGTGTGAGGAGAAGGCCCGGCACCTGCAGGAGCTGCTGGAGGTGGCCGAGCAGAGGCTGCAGCAGACAATGCGCAAGGCGGAGACGCTGCCAGAAGTGGAGGCTGAGCTGGCCCAGAGGGTTGCAGCCCTCACCAAGGCAAGTGGGCCCGAGGCTGGGCCCTGCCCTGTCCCCGCGTCCTGGACGCTGCTGGAGCCACACGGGCAGTGGGGGAGGGAGAGGGAGGCGCACTGGGCCGGGAGCCAGACACCCGCACTGCGTGACTGCCTGTCTGGCAGTGGGAAGAGTACTCCTACCCCTGTCCCTCCACGGGGGTGTGACCGGCCCCTAAGGAGGGGCGATGCCGGCGGAAGTCCTCATGTTGTCTTCTCACCGTGTGGCTCCTTCCTCCTTTTGTTTGGGGCTGGCGTGGGCAGATGAGGACTTTACTCTCTGGGAAGGTGAACCAGAGAGGAGGTGTGGGCCACATCTCTACGTCCCCTGGGCTGCAGGCGAGCACGTTTATTTGTAAAACCAATTTGAAGCACTGTAGATCGAGGGTTAACGTTTCAGTAATTCCTGAAAAGCGCACAGGCCGTCAACACAGGAAGCTGTCGGAGAGTAGGGTACACCGTGCGCTTGGACACGGGCGTGTCCATCAGAAGAACTTGGGAGTGTTTTCAGCAGGTTGGGGCCTCCGGGGTCCTGATGCAGGGTCACCATAGCTACCCTGAGCCATGCAGAGGACTCCTAACTCCTAACTCCTAACTCCAGTGGTTAGTAAGCACCGGGCCCTGGGGGCTGTGCAGGACCGAGGCTGGCCCATGTGCCCGTGTGGTAGCCTAGGTGCTCTGGGGCCCGTGGCCTGGCTGTCCCCCCAGGAGACACTGAGTGGCTCTGTGGCCGGGGAAAAGTCACCCCCTCACTAAACTAAACTGAATGTCCTTTCCTCAGGGATGCTGATGTTGGACTTGGTGGTCGCTAAGGGCTTTGCAGCCCCTGGGAAGGGAGGGCTGGGTTTTAATTCCGGCAGGGTGCTGTGTGTGGGGTGCTGAGCAGTCGGCTGCAGTGTCCCCAGAGACTGCCCGGAAGGGGCAGGCTCAGGGACTCATGCGTCCTAGGGCGTCATGGCGGGTGGGGGTGCTAGGGAAGGGTGTGCTGACTAAGATGTGTGATCGTCTGGAGTGTCTCGTCAGCAGAGACAGTGGGCTCTCCGTCTCTGCAGACACGGGACACAAAGGGAGACCTGTCCACCTGGGCTGGTTTAATGACAAAGGTAATGACCATGGCTGGGTGGCACTGCCGGGGCTTGTGGAGCTCTAAGTGCTAGCCATGGATTACTTCGCGTCGCCCTTGCAGCTGGCCAGCGGGCGTAGGTGTCGGTCTCCCCGTTTCCCAGTTGAGGAAGCTGGGGCACATGAGGTTCGGTCACGTGTACAGGGTCAGAGAGCGGGTTAGGGTCTGGACCCAGGCCATCTGGCTTCAGTTCCTGGTCGGAAGCGATTCCGAGAAGCAGAGAGGAGCTGGCGGGAGCTCGTGCTTCCAGGTGGAGTTGTTTCTGGAAGCTTGGGGAGGATTTACGGCCCTGGAGCCGTTAGCTCCAGGGTGTTTTAAGGCTGGTTGTGGCAGGACGGTGGTGGTGGGAGGGGCTGCCAGGGGTCTGTGTGCATGGGGAGGGAGGCAGTGGTGAGGGCAGTTTGCTCTGGGACGCTCGGTGGAGGGCTGAGCTTCATTGAGGCTGCGATCCCCAAGGCCACCTGGCAGCAGGTGCGGGGGAGATGCTATGGGCTGACCCCTCCCTGTCTCTAGGCTGAAGAGCGGCACGGCAACATCGAGGAACACCTGCGGCAGCTGGAGGGCCAGCTGGAGGAGAAGAACCAGGAGCTGGCCCGGGTGAGGGTTGCCAGGGTGGTCAGTGCAAGGGGCAAGGAGGAAGGGCCTGGCCAGGACCCTCGCCCCAGAGGGCGGTCAGGGGAGCTGGAGGGGGGCTCCCGGCGGGCGGGGGTGGGTGGGGGATGATGACGGAGAATGAGGAGGAGCAAGTGGGAGAGGGAGAGCCCCAGCTGGCGTGGTGGGCCCCTGGGCGGGCTGCGGGGCCCAGCTGGCTGGTGCGAGGCGGGCTGGCCGTGCAGGTGCGCCAGCGGGAGAAGATGAATGAGGACCACAACAAGCGGCTGTCCGACACCGTGGACCGGCTCCTGAGCGAGTCCAACGAGCGCCTGCAGCTCCACCTCAAGGAGCGCATGGCGGCCTTGGAAGAGAAGGTACTGTGGAGCCCAGGCCTGAGTGGGCGGGGTTAGGGCGGGACAGCCAGAGGAGGCGGGGAAAGATGAGGATGTGGGTGGAGCCTGCCAGGGGTGGAGTCAGCCTGGCTCACAGCCGCTGTCCCCCAGAACTCGCTGATCCAGGAGTTGGAGAGCTCCCAGCGGCAGATTGAGGAACAGCACCACCACAAGGTAGCCAGTCCGGACACGCACTGTTAGCGTGACTGTGAGCCCCTGTACACACCTTCCCGGGTTGCTCTGCACCGTGGCCATAGCCCTGGGTACACCACTCCCTGCAGGTACACAGCTGCGGCCACAGGCACAGGCATAGCATGGGCCGACCCCCATACATAAGGTCTGGAGGGGCCTCTAACCCTGCTAATGGCAGGAGTCAGCAACGGTCCTGCGGCCGGGGCGGGGTGGGGGCGGGTGGGCACCCGCGAGCCTCCTGCTGCCCAGCCTGCTGGGCCACGCGTTTGTGTACTGCTGTGGGGACAGCGGACCTGTTCCAGGAGAGCCCTTGTGCAGACAGACACTCTGCTGGCCCCGCCCCCCTGCCTAGCACCCTGCTCACTTTGCAACCCCACCGCTTCTCTTTGGCGTCATCCGGGGGCTTGGCCTGGGAGCCCTTTGTCTCCCCAACTCTGCTGTCTTCTGTCCCTGGCTGACTCCCACTCTCCCCTCCCTGGGGTCTGCCTGGCACAGGGCCGCCTGTCCGAAGAGATTGAGAAGCTGCGCCAAGAGGTGGACCAGCTGAAGGGTCGAGGGGGGCCGTTTGTGGATGGCATCCACTCCAGGTACTGGAGCGCGGGCGGCCGGGCGTGCTGGGCCTGGGTCCTGGTGCGACCCTCAGGAAGGAGACTTCCTCCCGCAAAGGACCGCCCAGGACCTCAGGGTCCTCCCCTAACTGGGGTGGGGCACTGAGGCCTGGGCAGCTTGGCCACGTGGCAGAGTAGGAGGGGGATGCCACGAGGCCAGCTGATGCCCCTGCTCCAGACTCGCACACTGGCCCTCCTGGGCGGAGGCGTGCCCTGGGGAAGCGTCTGCAGAGTTCCAGGCGCCCCGTGTCCTCAAGGCCGCGTGGAGAGTGCCACTCACGCTAGTTCTTTTGGGACTCCATCTTTACCATTGCTGGCCGAGTTCAGGTAGCAGGCAGCGGGGGTTCGGGTAGCAGGTGGGGGTGTTGGACGTTGAGGTGCTTCGTTGCTCGCCTGCTGTGGCACCCTTTTCCTGATGCCGAGTGTAGCTTTCCACCTAATGCCTGAATCAAGCCCACCTTTGAGGGCCCCGCTGGCTCCCCCCACCCCCCGTTTTGTGAAACAGTCGGCATTGAGCTCAGACCTCCAGCCTGCCTCCTGTTTGCCTGCAGTGGCCGGGGAAGTTCATGCAGACCTGTGTGGCTGCTGCCACTCGGGGCGCGTGGCTCCAGGCCGTTTCCTCCCCAAACCAGACTCGAGGCAGAGCCCTTGCAGCGCCCTTTGGTCTCCTGTGGTGGCAGCAGCTCCCAGGAAGGAGGGCTACAGGAGACGCGTCCAGGCGTCCATGCGTGTGGGAGGCAGTGCTCGAGTTAGGGAAAGGGTATTGAGCAGCCCAGGGGCCCGGGGTGGTGGACACTTGAGGGCCATTGTCAAGTTAACCAGGGATTACCTATAGGGCCAGGCGTGGAGACAGATGATAGGAGTTGGGATTCCTCCTACCCGTTGCTTCCTGTGGCTTGACCAGAGGGACACCCTCTCAGCAAGTAAGACACGGCCCAGAGTGCACCAAGCCTTTTGCTTTCCTTAATGTTGGGGATTCTTGGCTTCGGCTGTAGCCTCACTGGACCCGTCATGGAACTGGGTTGAGCTTCCTCCCCTTGCAGCTGCCTCGTAGATGGTCCAAGCTCACCTGCTCTCCTGTTCTCTGCCCCTCAGGGGCTCCCAGATGGCCAGGCACGGGGAAGAAACATTGCTTCTAGTACTCCAGGGCCAATTACGAGGGTCCTGAAATCTTAGGGTTGGGGTAGACCTTGGGACAGGCAAAGGGTCTCCCTGGCCTTTTTTGTTTTGTTTTTAAAGATTTATTTGTTTATTTGAAAGGCACAGTTACAGAGAGAGGGAGAGACACAGAGAGAGGTCTTCCATTCGTTGGTTCACTCCCCTAATGGCCACAATGGCCGTGACAGAACCAGGCTGAAGCCAGGAGCCGGGAGCTTCTTCCAGGTCTCCCACGCGAGTGCAGGGGCCCAAGGACTTGGGCCATCTTCTGCTGCCTTCCCAGGCATGTTCACAGGGGGCTGGGTCAGAAGTGGAGCAGCTGGGACACAAGTCGGCATTCATATGGGAGGCTGGCATCGCAGGCGGTGGCTTAACCCACTGCGCACCAAAGGTGACCCCTAACCTTTGCCCTTGACTGGTGTCCAGGACCTCCAGTGCTTCCTGGGGGTGGTGGTATAGAAAACGCAGCCCAGGACTCCACCTGGATTATGGGGAGGTCTGAGCACCGTGGCCGGGGGAAAGACCAAGAAGCAAAGACCCCCAGAGTGAAAGCCGTCCTCCCTGCTGCCCTCCCCAGTATCCACGTCCTCCCGCACCGTGCTGGTCACGTGGCCAGGGAGCCTCTGCTTCCATACCTCTTTGCTGGGGAGCTCAGCTTTGGAAAAGCCACCAGTTGCCCCGTGAGCCCGCTGTTGCCACTGGAAGGCCCTTTTTACATGCTAAGGTGAAAGCTGGGCCTTGGAACTCTCTCCCCTGGGTGCTTCTGAGCCCCCGAGCACCAGCAAACGGGCCTGATGGCTTCCCTTCCAGCACTCCCCAGAGCTCTGTGTCCCACCGAGACTGCTCTGAGCCCAGCAGCCCTGGCCTCTTGGGGCCCAGCGGGTGTGAGCTGGGGCCCATCCTCAGGGCTGTCTTTTCTCTCCCCTGCCGCCTCTCAAGGTCACACATGGGCAGCGCAGCGGACGTGCGCTTCTCCCTGACCACAGCCACCCACGCGCCCCCGGGGCTGCATCGCCACTACTCGGCGCTGAGGGAAGAGCCGGCCAAGGTGAGGGAGGAAGAGAAGAGTATGGGGGGGGGGTCTCCCCAGGGAGTTTGGGGTCAGTTCGGCCGCGTGCCTGGCTCCAGTTACACAGACGGCTGGCGTGCGGTGCAAATCCTCCCCTGCCCACCCCCATGTCAACGACAGCTGCAGCCCTGGGCTGGGGCCACTGTCAGCTGCAACAGCTGTGTCCCTCTGCCCCTACCTCGGCCTCCTGGTGGGTGAGAGGTAGGGGTTTGGCGGGCGTGCAGCCAGTCCCTGAGGCCCCAGTGAGGCGTGTGTGCGTGTGCCTGGGTGTGCAAGGCATGTGTTTCTGGTGCTCGGGGCGGGGGAAAGGATTGGCAAGCTTTCTGGAACAAAAGCTGTGGTTTGTGGGGGCGGTGACGCGTGACCTGGCCCTGTGGATGGCACCTGGGGTGTTCTGAGAAGCGGCTGTGGGTTCTTGCTCTCCGAGTCCGCCGAGGGAGGGGAGAAGGGACAGGGAAGGGCTGACGTCTGTCTTTCGGGGACGTCTGATTCCTGCGTGGCCCCGTAATCAGTGGTCGTGTTCTGTCCTGAGCCTGGGTCCTCCGCGAGGACTGAGTGAGAGGGAACTCCCTGTCTGATGGGGGCAGATCTGTCTCTGCTCTTCAGAAACCCTGGGTCTGATGGGGGAGTCACAGTCTGAGGGCACCTCTTTTTCTCCTCCCTTGTCAGAAGCCAGCGGCTGCCAGGAACTGAGCCTGAGGCGCACAGCCGCTGGGACAGGGCCCCGGGGGAAGCGAGGGCTCTGGTCGGAGCACGGGTGGGAGAGCGCCTCTCAAGGCTTCCCAGAAGGCTCTGCCGGTGCTGCACTTCCCCTGCTCTCTGCATCTCGCCACCCTCCATGAGTCTGTGCGAACAGCACAGCCTGTGCGCAGTGGTTTGTGCCATGCTGCGCCCTGGGCTCACGCGCACTTCCTCACTGAATGCGTGCGGTGACCTAAGCAGCAGGGGCTCACCCTCTCCCCGTTGTACAGACGAGGAAACTGAGGCACAGTAGCTGCAGCTTTCCCATGGTTGCATAGCTGAGACTCAGACCAAGGCAGACTGCTTCCGGGGTCTGTCCTTAGCCCTCCGGCTAGCAAAGCTCCACAAGTGAGAGCAGAATTTTGTAGTTGTAAGCTTGCAAAAAAAGAAAAGAAAAGCACCAAACCCATCCAGAGGGCTTTCTGGGAGGCAGGTTGTGAATCAGTGGGTCTGGGGGCGGGACCCGAGACACCGCGTTTCCGCGTTTCTCGAAAGCTCCCAGGAGGCGCCCGGGCCGCCGGCAGCCCTGCTACCCACGTGTCCGGTTGTGACTCCGCTACCCTCTGCCTTTGCTAAGGACTGGGAGCCACCTTCACTTCCAGGGGTGCTGGCCCCCACGGCCACCCCTGCCTTTGACAGTGACCCTGAGATCTCCGACGTGGATGAGGAGGAGCCAGGGGGTCTGGTGGGCTCCGTGGACGTCGTCTCCCCCAGCGGCCACTCAGATGCCCAGACCTTGGCCATGATGCTGCAGGAGCAGCTGGATGCCATCAACGAGGAGATCAGGTTAGGGCAGGGCCGAGGGCCGTGGAGGTGCCCGGGACGGGTCTTTTGTGTTGGGTGAGCAGAACTCTGCCCACTCCGTCTCCTGCCACACTCTGCAGACCTCTGGGGGCCTCTGGCAAGGCTCTGGCCCAGTTCTGGCCTGAGGGGGTCAGGCCCCAGGCTGGCGAGGTGGCTGGGCTGGGGAGAGGGATGGTCCTGTCACTCACTGTGTAGCTCCCGCACACAGAGGGAGCTCAGGGGGCGCTGTGTAAATGCCACTGTCCGTCCCACCCTGGTGTCTGAGGTAGGCAGCATCACCTCTGTTTTACAGACAAGGGAGCAGAAGCTCAGAGAGGTTAAGTGCTTGCCCAAAGCCACACAGTAAGTGATAGAGCCAGAACTCAACTGGTTACACGGTTCCCTGCCTCCTGTCCCTAAGGAGGCAATGGCTGGGGGAGTTGGCCAGCCTCCCCTCCTCCTGTCTTTTTAGTGAGTTCATGCATGTTATTGACAAGTAGCAAGGGTGAATCTAGACCATACCCGAGCTTTCTGGCTATGGGACTTGCCTGGCTCACTGATTTGCAGACTTGGGTTTCACAAACCAGTTCTAAAGAACACAAGCACACACATGCACATGCCTGCACACATGTGCTCACATACATGCACACCGACGCACAAAGAGACACCAACATCGGATGTCCCTGGAGTAGCACGGACGAGCTCCCAGGACATGGGCAGGTCCCCCTCAGCGTACCCCACGCCTCTTCACACCATGTGCACACCCCTGCTAGCATTCCTGTGGGACAGAACAAGCCCCTCGGGCCTCGGCTTCAGCTACCAGTCCTGGCATTTGGGATCCGCTGATGGAAACCCCTGCAGGGAAACTGAGGCCCTGCAGGGCGGCTTAAGGCCACGGCAGGAATTCTGGTTTCTCAGGAATTCTGGTTTCCTGCGGTTTGTGTGCCTTTGTTTTGATTGCCCCCCGGGGACTCTGGGCACAGCAAGGTCTCCCTGGGCACACCCTCTGTGTGTGGTCACAGGGCACTGCCCCCTGCCGTGTTGGCTGGGCTGGTGGTCAGGGCCAGTCTCGCCTGCCTCGTAGGATGATCCAGGAGGAGAAGGAGTCCACGGAGCTTCGGGCCGAGGAGATTGAGACGCGCGTGACCAGTGGCAGCATGGAGGCCCTGAACCTGACGCAGCTGCGCAAGAGGGGCTCCATCCCCACCTCTCTGACCGCCCTGTCCCTGGCCAGTGCGTCCCCCCCGCTCAGCGGCCGCTCCACACCCAAGCTCAGCTCCCGCAGCGCTGCCCAGGACCTGGACCGAATGGGGGTCATGACCCTGGTGAGAGCCCGCCCCGGGCTCTGTGGCGGGGGTCTCTGGGGACACTGGGCTGCCTCTGCGTCAGCTGGGCCTTGGAGTCTCCGTCCCATGCCGTGTGCTGACCCCGGCGTGGACTAGAACAGGGCTGGCGTGCTCCGCGCACCCTCTCCTTGGGATGGGCACAGATAGCTTAAGATACTGCCCCAGGGCCCGCTCCGTGCTGTCTCAGAGGTGCCCTGACTCCTGGGTCCCCGCCAGCCCTTTCCTGCCGTCAGTCTCTCCAGGCCTGTCTTCCCGTCCCCAGACCACTGTGCTCCCCGTGGGTTGGCACCCGGGCACCCAGAGGGCGCGTCCGAGCTCACCCATCACTCTCTCTTCCAGCCCAGTGACCTAAGAAAGCATAGGAGGAAGCTGCTGGTGAGTGCTGCCGAGGACCCAGGTACTAACAGGCGAACCGCTCCCGGGCCCCGCCCTTGGGCTTCTCCCCGCGGGGGCCCTGGGCGCTGAGTCAGCTCGCGAGGCCTCCCCACTTGTCTCTGGGCTGGGTAGGCAGGCCCCCCGTCGCCCCCTCTATGCCCTGACGGCTCCACTGTCTGTTCAGTCGCCAGTGTCTCGGGAAGAGAACCGAGAGGATAAAGCCACCATAAAATGTGAGACTTCTCCTCCTTCCTCACCCAGGACGCTGCGGCTGGAGAGGCTGGGCCACCCCGCCCTGAGCCAGGAAGAAGGCAAGAGGTAGGCAGGGGGGGCCGGCCCCACCCCTGGGCTGCCCACCCCTCCCCCGCCTCTGGAGGGACGCTCCCACCTGCTCGACTCGCACCCCCTCTTCCCGACCCCGGCGCGGACCCTGCAGTCTAACTGGCGCGTCTCCTGCTGTGGTGTAAGAGTGTGTCTCCTTATCCCGCCCCCCCTGGCTGTCGCCCCCTAGCGCCTTGGAGGACCAGGGCAGCAACCCCAGCAGCAGCAACAGCAGCCAGGACTCGCTGCACAAGGGCGCCAAGCGCAAGGGCATCAAGTCGTCCATCGGCCGCCTGTTTGGGAAGAAGGAGAAGGGCAGGCTGATCCAGCTGAGTCGGGATGGAGCCACGGGCCATGGTCTCTGTGCCCCTCCTCGCAGGGTGGGGCCTGGGGGGCACAGGGGAGTCCAGGAGCCTTGCCTGCCCACCTGCCAGGGCCAGGTGGGAGGAAGCCCCGGGCAGGCAGGTTTCTGCCCTGGAAGAGCCGGGGTTCCGTGGTCGCTGTGTCCTGGTGGGGTGCGTTGCTGCCGTGAGGTGGGAGCCCTGGGCTCTGCCCGTGCCAGGCCCTGTCTGGGTAACCACTGCCTCGCCTGCCGGAGAAGGTTCCCGCAGCGGTGAGAATCCCGGCCCGAAGGGCTCTGCAGTCACCGTGCCCAGAGCCGGTGCAGGGCCCATTTCTCGGTTCTTTAGAATCGGTTCTTTTTTTTTTTTTTTTTCTTTTGACAGGCAGAGTTAGACAGTGAGAGAGAAAGACAGAGAGAAAGAGAGAAAGGTCTTCCTTCTGTTGGTTCACCCCCCAAATGGCTGCTACGGCTGGCATGCTGTGCCGATCTGAAGCCAGGACCCAGGTGCTTCCTCCTGGTTTCCCATATGGGTGCAGGGCCCAAGCACTTGGCCATCCTCCACTGCCTTCCACTGCTGGACTGGATGAGGAGCAAGTGGGACAGAATTCGGCGCCCCAACCGGGACTAGAACCCGGGGTGCCAGCGCCGCAGGTGGAGGATTAGCCAAGTGAGCCGCAGCGCCGGCCAGGAGAATCGGTTCTTGATGGGAACTTATTTCTACCACATCTGGCCTCCAGGGCTCAAAATATTAGAACACCTAATTGTGGCTGCGTGGACCTTAAATTCAAGAAAGTGCTTGGGCTAAGGCGCGCGTTGTTATCACCACCGTGATCGCAGCAAGTGCTAGTGTGTCCTTGGCAGGTGGTAGGAGCAGGGCCCACGTGTGCTGTACGCCTGCCCCTCCCTCCTGCTCCTCCCGTCATCTCACACACTGTGGGTCACACACACACTGCCGGGTGACTGCGGGGCAGCGTTGGAGCCATGTGTCTTTGGAGCCCAGTGTGTGGTGAAAGGGAGGAAGGAGGGAGCCGATCCCCAGAGAGTGGGCTGCCAGAGAGGGCTGCTTTGGAACTCGGGGCTCAGCTGCGGGTGGTGGTGGGGGGCGGCAGAAATGGCCCAGGCTCAGGCCCAGAGAGAAGGTGTAAGGGGTGGGTGGGGGCTGTGTGAGAGAGACTGGAAGGTTGTGGGGGTGGAGAGCAGAGCTTTGAGGCCATTTTGCTCATTCCAGCTGGGGAAGAAAGAGGGCGGGTGGGGGCAGAGTGTGAGGTGGCGTGGCGGTCCCCTGAGCCGGGGATGCTGGCAAATGTCACACAGGGCACGGGGAAGGGGGCTTATCACCTAGAAGAAAGGGACCTTTGAGCCCCAATGCATAATTATACCTTCCCCCACCTCACAGCCGTGTGAATCAGAACATAGCTCCTGCAGGGGGAGGGGGAGGAAGAGGGAGGCCCTTGGGATGGGGGTGTTCTGGCCAGGAATGAGGTAGAGGCTCCTCCTCCCCAGCCCATGGGGGAGGGGAAGTCGAGCGGTCTGAGAGGAGGGAGAGGTGTTTTGGGTGAAGCCTTGGGACCTCCTGGGCGCCCCATGCCGCTCCCTCTCTGGGGTCCCTGCACCTGCCGCCCCCTGCCAAGATGCTGCCCCTGGCCACGAATTGGACAGGACTCCGGCATCGATTCGGGCAGCTCCTTGATCAAAGAGCAGTGCACATCCCGCCTTCCTGGGAGCAGGCAGGGAGGACTGCCCTGTGCCAATTCCCGCCCCGGCCCACGGCAGCGTCTCTGTGCCTGGCTCTCTGGGTTCCCTTTGCGGGAGAGACAGTTTCTACCTAGGATTCTAGGGTGAAATGACTCTGGGTGAAAAACACCTCCACTGCTGAAGCTGTATGGGTTGGGGGAGACTCTTGGGGCTGGGGTGGTCCTCCTGATGCCACCTGGGACTGCCTCCCCAAAGGGGCTTGCGGAATGGACACTCCAGGAGTGCTGGGGTCCCCTCAGGTCCTCTTGGGCTGTCCCACGCTGGGGAGCCTCCTGCTGCTTTGCCCCCCGGCCTGTGGCCCAGGCCGCTGGAAGAGCAGCAGAGGGCTTGCTGATGCACCTCCTCTCCCTCGCAGTCCTGCTCACGGACCCCGAGCTCAGCCTGCAGGAACCCATGGTGCCTGCCAAGCTGGGGACCCAGGCAGAGAAGGACCGGCGGCTGAGGAAAAAGTAAGAGTCTCAGGCCAGGCTCCACGTGTGGGCCCAGGCCCTCCCCCCTCCCTCCAGGCCAACTGCCAGAGCCCAGCCAGGTCGCAGGGGCAGGGAGGAGGGGGGCTGGCCTGTTGAAGCCAGTGTGTGTGCCAGGCAGGGGCAAGCACCGTGGGAGCCCCTCGCCCTGGGTTCCGCCCCGCCTCTTGGTGTCGCATTGCTTCAGGCGTAGGCCTAGCTCCTGACCTCTGGTGGAGGCAGGGCTGGGGGGTGGCAGGGAGGGACCAGTGAGTCTGTTGTCCTCTGCCACAAGACACCAGCTGCTTGAAGATGCCCGCAGGAAAGGGACGCCCTTCGCCCAGTGGGACGGCCCCACCGTGGTCTCCTGGCTGGAGGTAAGCCTGGAGGGAGGGATGCTAGGGCGCGGGGGGGGGGGGGGGATAGTGTTCTAGAACTTTCCCAGTGTGTGGCTCCCCTGCCAAGTGCACGCGCCCCCTCCTCCGTTACTCCGGAGGACAGAGTTGGTGCTCCTTACTGATGCCTTGCGGGTAGCCCAGTGTGAGGAAGGGGCCTTCGACTTCCGCAGGCCACTGGACTCTGCTCCTAGACGCCCCCAAGAAAATCCCCTCACCGCCCAGGCATCCGCAGAGTGGGAGAGAGAGGGGTTGGATGAAGCCGGCTCCAGCTTTCTCAGCTCCTGGGCTCTGCTGTGGGGCCCGGGCCCTGGGGAAAGGGGCTGAACCTGTCTCCCGTCCCGTGCCCATGTCTGCAGCTCTGGGTGGGGATGCCTGCCTGGTACGTGGCAGCCTGCCGGGCCAACGTCAAGAGCGGCGCCATCATGTCCGCCTTGTCGGACACGGAGATCCAGCGGGAGATCGGCATCAGCAACGCCCTGCACCGGCTCAAACTGCGGCTGGCCATCCAGGAGATGGTGTCCCTGACCAGCCCCTCCGCCCCGCCCACCTCCAGGACGGTGAGCGGCCTCCCTGTGCCCAGGACTTGCAGGGGCTCTGGCGCCACTGCTCCGGGGGAGATGGGAACACTGGGCCCTGCCCTTTCTTTCCCATCCCCCTGGGGGCTCAGGTCCTGGCTCCTGAGAGGGAGTGGCCTGCATTCTGGGTGGATCCCACAGGCCTGGTTCCCTGCCTGCCGCCCACCACCCCTGGGGTCCATGTCCCCCTCCATCCACTGCTGACAATTTCAGGTCCCCGCAGAGTTTCCAGGATGGGGTTTCTGGAGCTCTGCGTTTTTGTCAGGCTGGGGGACGCAGAGAGGGTAGGGCATTTGTGGACTCTGCTGGTCCTGTAGCCTCAACACGAGAATGCAGAACGCCCCTCGGACCCCAGAGTAAAACCTCCTGGCCCTGGACACTGCGAATGGGGTCAGCCCCATTGCAGATCAGCACCCTTTGTTCACCTTCACCCCGGCAGCCTTTCCTGAGCACGGCTGTATGCACGCGGCACCGTGCTAAGCCACAGATGTGTCTCTGGCCATCAGGCTGCCTGGAGCTGGACAGCATGCAGAGGCCAGGACTGGGCCCAAGGGAGCACTTGGGGAGGGGCATTGACCTTGTCCCCGTGGGCTCCTGGCCTGATGGGACCCATGGGCACCAGCTGGGTTTGCTCTCTGCCTGCAGTCTTCTGGGAATGTCTGGGTCACCCATGAAGAGATGGAAACTCTGGCAACATCCCCTAAAACAGTGAGTCTGGCCCTTAGCCCTGGCCCTGGGATGAGGACCAGTGGCTCCTGCGAGGAGGCTGTGGGTGATGGGGGTTGTGATGGGTCTGACCCAAGGCTGCCATCCCTGGGGTGTGGTTGGGCTCTCCCATCAGGGTGGAGGGCTGTGGGGAGAGAGCTGAGATTGGGAGCGGTTGGTGTGGGAGCAGCGGTCTCTTCTGGGGCCACTGGTGGAGAAGAGGCGGGCTGGGAGGGCCACGCCAGGCAGGGGGCCGCAGCCTCAGTCCCCGTCCTTGGCCTTGATCCATGGTGGAGCAACAGGAGGGTTGGGGGCTCCCACATGTGGCCTGGCTCCAGTGGGGCCTGGCAGGCACAGGCCCATGTTTCTGCCGCACACATGTGTGCTCTGCGCTCACTACAAACACGAGTGCGCGCACCAGCATGCGTCCCCGAGTCAGGCCGGTGCCGGCGGCCGGGGCGGCTGCTCCTCCGGGTCCCCGTGGGGCTGGAGTGGAGGCTGCTGGGTTTCTTGACTTTGCCTGTTTCCCCCGACTGCTGCGCTCGTTCCTGCTAGGACAGTGAGGAGGGCAGCTGGGCCCAGGTAAGCCTCCCCTCCCTTTCCAGAACGGCTCTCACCGGCTCTGCCCAGGTCCCTCCCTCGGGCCCTCCCCAGCAGGACACTGGCCAACCCCACCTGGGGGGCTGTGCTCCCAGCGGCTCCGCCTCTTCCCTTGGGCCCACCTCTCTTTGCAGGAATAGCGAGGCTTAGCCTGGGCTCAGTCTTCCTCCCCTTGGCTGTCTGGGGCCTTTCATTCATTCAGTGAGTGGGCATCTCTACCTAGAGACGGAGCCAGCAAAGCCCTCGGGGTGGTCCTGAAACCCAGAGCAGTCTCAGCAGTGCTGGGTGCTGTGGCGCTGAGTGCAGCGTGGAGCACTGTTCGCACTGACAGGGAGCACCCCAGCCACGGGAGACCGGGCAGATCTCTCGCTGGGGTGCTTCCGAACATTCATGGCAAATGGAGTTAACGAGTGTTTATTTTGATGCCAAGGATTTGAAAGCCGTGCATAGATTTGGCATGGGGGTGGGGGGATGCACCTGCCGTGAGCTTTTTGCAGACCCTTACTGTGGCCTAGTCACACTCAGCAGAGACAATGGAGGGGTCTGAGAAATACGAGGTGGAAAGTGGAAATCCCAGGGATTCATAGACTTTGATACTCAAACTCAAAAACAAGCAAAATGAGGAAAATACTGTTGAGAAAAATATACAATGGGATATGCAGGAAAAACAATGAAAACCTTTTGTTTTTTTTTTTTTTTTTTGGTCAAAGCAAGGGAATGATAGAAAACTCAGCCTGGTGGTCGCCTCTTGGCGGGGCAGTGGGAGACGGAGTGGGGAAGTGGAAGGGAGGGGTGAATGTGGCCGAGTGGACCGTGTTCTGGTTCCTAACCGGAGCGGCGTCCACAGAGGGTAACTGGGTTTTTATGCTCACTAGGGAACTTACGTTACATACAGCTCTGCGTGCATCAGCCGTTGGATTTTGAAAGCTGTTAACAACAGGGAATTTCTAGAGCAGGGACAGTGATGCCGGGCGGCTGTAAAGACTCAGGCCCTGGAGCACCTGCTCCCGGCAGGGCCCTGCCTGGGGCGGGCAGCAGAGGAGCAGGCCATCCTGGGCACTGCCTGCCGCCGCCGGCCAGCCTGGAGCTTCCGCGTGGGGTGGAGTGCATTGCCCCGCAGGGCCTCTGTGACAGGGCCTCTCTGCCCCGGGGCCAGCGGGCAGAACCGGGAAGGCGAGGCTGCTGCCCAGCCCCCATGCGCATTCAGAGCCAACAGGACGGCTTCTGCAGCGTCTGCTGGCTGCTCACTAGTGTAGCTGACCGATCCGTGAGGGGAACCGGGGCGTGGTGGCGTCTCAGCGCGTCCCACTGACAGTGCCCCACTGCCGGCCCTTTCTGAGAGAGAGGAAGCTGAGGTTCTGTGGAATCGCACGCCTTCCCTCTGGAGTGAAGGGTGGGTTTTTTCCTCCTAACCAGAGAAGCCAGCTGGGCCTCTTCCTCACCCAGAGCCCCCTTCCTGTTCCCCCAGACCCTGGCCTACGGGGACATGAACCACGAGTGGATTGGCAACGAGTGGCTGCCCAGCCTGGGGCTCCCGCAGTACCGGAGCTACTTCATGGAGTGCCTGGTGGACGCCCGCATGCTGGACCACCTCACCAAGAAGGACCTGCGGGTGCACCTGAAGATGGTGGACAGCTTCCATCGGTGAGCCGGGCTGGCGGCGGGCCCTGCCCTGTGGACGGCTTCTCCAAGCCCTGGGGGGGCCTCTCCAGGAAGAAGCTCCTGGCTCCTGGCTTTGGATCTGACTGTTGCGGCCATCGGAGAGTGAACCAGAGAATGGAAGACCTCTCTCTCTCTTTCTCTGCCTCTGACTCTCTATAACTCTGCCTTTCAAATAAATTAAAAAAAAAAAATCTTAAAAAAACAAAAGAGTTAGGGAAAGGTAGAGAGAGAGATCTTCCATCCACTGGTTCAACTCCCATATGGCCACAATAGCTGAGGCTAGGCCAGGCTGAAGCCAGGAGCTTCATCCACGTCTCCCACATGGGTGCAGGGGCCCAAGGACTTGGGCCATCCTCCACTGCTTTCCCAGGCATGTCAGCAGGGAGCTGGTCACGAAGTGGAGCAGCCGGGACTCGAACCAGCGCCCATATGGAATGCCGGTTTTGCAGGCAGCGGCTTTACCAGCTGCGCCACAGCGCCGGCTCCAGCACCCGCTGCTCTGAGTGGCAGCAGGTCCCCCTGTGGGCAGTCGCCCTTCTGAGCTCTGGACGTTGCAGGTTTTGGTCCTTTTGTCTCTCGGCCTTCCTTTTCAGCTGCCGCTGCTCCACGGGGTTCCCCAGGGCTGACTCCCTGTCCGCGTTGCTCTGCTGACTTCTGCGAGCCTTCCCGGAGAAGACTCAGGCCGCCTCTGAGTCTGCTTCGGGGTCTCGCGGTTTCCACGTTGAGCAGCCAGGTCTTCCTGCGGCTCCGCCCTCAGCGTGGGACCCGCGGAACTCTCCCACTCTCCTCCTGGCTCAGGAGCGTAGCGCCAGAGACCCCAGACGGGCAGCCCGTGGACAGATGCTCTAAAAATGACGAGTTTTGCTGCTGCCTTTTAATAGAAGAAGGAGATTTTTGTATGAAATCTCGCTTTTCTGGCTTCTATTGAGAAACTAAAAGCTGTGTCCACACCATCTAGCATGGGGGGCTGGGGTGGCGCCGCCCCTCCCCCGCCACGCGGGCCTTGGAGGTGGAGTGAGGTGGGCGCTGGTGGCGCCGGCCGTTGAACATTTTGAGGGTCCGGTGCACAGGCTGCGTTTTGAGCCAGGGTTCCTTGCGGGCCTGTGAGTGTTCCTGAGCATGTCTTCCAGGTCACGAGGAAGGGGCCTGGGTCACCTCCCGTGACAAGGGGCTGACGTGCAGGGGGACCAAGGTGGCCTGTGAGGAGGGCCTGTGTGCCCTCACCCCTGCCGCCCCCGCCTCTCAAGTGGGGCTGAGGGAGCCTCTTTTGTCTCTGCTGGAGGCTGCCAGGCTCAGCTGCACCTGTCCCTTGCTCAGTGATTGACGGCGCCGGGGGAGCAGGCCTGGGCTGATGGAGGATTTGCCTGCCCGGCCCCACCTGGGAGTGTGGAAATCCTCCCCGTGACCCCTGCATGCGGACCCTAGGACAGAGCCCCGGCCTGCACGCGCGGCCCAGAGGCAGCTCGGAGTCACCAGGCCATCGGAGCGGCTGGGCGTCTCCACGGCTTGCCCCCCGCCCGCCAGGGGTGCACCTGCTTTTGCTCTGCCGCACCCTTCATAAGCACATTCTTGCGTCTTTGAACCATCTTTCAAATCGTGGGTTTTCTGACGAGCAAGGGATGCTTTAAAATTCCTGTCTTACAAAGACAGAGACCAAGTCCTCAGCCAGCCGGTTGTCCCGGAGCTGTCTGCCTTGGAGCACGGCGCTCCGTGGAGCTGGGGGAGCAGGCACACACAGAGATCAGAAGTGCCACCCTACCAGTGGTGCCAGTGCTGGGCGCCCGTGGCAGTCCAGGGCCGGGGAGTGTCATCGTCACCGCTAGTCCTTGATGTGACTGTAAAGGCGTTAACATGGGTGCTGTGTGCCGCAGCTGCGCAAGTCCCAGGAGCTGAGGACTGGAGGCATTTGCAATTGTGCCTCCTCCTCTGGGCCCAGGCTGAAGCCAGGGGCTTGGGCGATGAATGGGTGGCTTGAGCCAAAAGGGGCCCCTAGAAGTGGCGTCCGAGCTGGGAGGGAGAGCCTGTGCCAGGCCCAGGGTGGAGAAGAGCAGTGTGCACGATGAGTTAGTCTCACAGAGCAGCGGCCTCAGGATGGCCAGGAGCAGTCGGGTCGGGAGGGAGCTTCCAGTCCGTCCCCATAGATGGAAAAACCCAGAGAAGCCAGAGCAAGGGTGGTGTGTGCTGCCGTAGACGTGGCGAGTTTCCTGTCCCCGGAGGTGGCAGGCACCGGCTCGGTGATGCTCTCAAGGAGGCCGGAAGGGGACAGCTTGCACTGATGGCCCAGGGAATCTGCAGACCTCCGGCTGGCTTAGTTCTTATTGAGTGCTTACTGTGCACCTGGTACCGGGTAAGGGCTCTCGTCATTCCTGAATGATGTCATTCAGTTCATTAAGTGCCTTTAGTGCCTTCTGTGCTGGGGTTTAGGACCAGAAAGTTCCCTGCCTTGGGGGTGCTCACACGGCAGCTGGGAGAGACATCAAGAGCAGTCAGGACAAGGTTATGTCAAGAGATAGAAAGTGCTGGCCGGCGCCGTGGCTCACTAGGCTGATCCTCCGCCTGTGGTGCCGGCACACCGGGTTCTAGTCCCGGTCGGGGTGCCGGATTCTGTCCCAGTTGCCCCTCTTCCAGTCCAGCTCTCTGCTGTGGCCCAGGAGTGCAGTGGAGGATGGCCCAAGTGCTTGGGCCCTGCACCCCATGGGAGACCAGGAGAAGTACCAGGCTCCTGCCATCGGATCGGATCAGCGTGGTGCACCGGCCGCAGCGCGCTGGCCGCGGCGGCCATTGGAGGGTGAACCAACGGCAAAGGAAGACCTTTCTCTCTCTGTCTCTCTCTCTCTCACTGTTCACTCTGCCTGTCCAAAAAAAAAAAAAAAAAAAAAAAAGAGAGAGAGAGAGAGATAGAAAGTGCTAGGGGAAAAGTTAAGCCAGGGTAGGGGGCACTGGGAATGTGGTCTGGGGGTCATGACAGTGACGGAGCCGCTTTTAGTCTGACAAACGAGGTGCCTGGAGAGTAGTACTGAGAAGGTGGCATTTGGCCAGAGAACTGGGGAGGAGTATTCTGCACAGAGGGAGAAGCTAGTGCAAAGGCCCTGAGGCATGCAGACCTAGTGCACCTGCTGTGTGTGAGGAACAGCAGGGGTCTCGATGTGGCTGCAGCAGAGACAGTGAGAGGGAGGGTAGTCGGCCGGGAGTTCAGACAGGTGAGAACGCAGGCCATGGAGTTCGGACAGGTGAGGACACAGGCCATGTGGCGTCCTGTAGGCCAACTTAAGGACCCTGAGTGAAATGGATACAATGGCACGTGTCCTGTGTATACTTTGTGGGTGGGAGGGGTCTGTGTCATTCCAGGGCCTGGAGAGGGAGGGACTTGTTGCAGAGAGAGAAGCAGCCTTGAGGAAGCCACAGGAGCGGGAGAAGTGTGAGGGCCTGGGAGGCAGCAGGTCTGGACTTGCTGGGGCAGGTGCGGGTGCGGGGTGCGGGGTGCGGGGTGCGGGTGCGGGGCAGCTGGCGGCTCCAGCTCAGCGTGGCTGTGTGCCTGCAGGACCAGTCTGCAGTATGGCATCATGTGTCTGAAGCGGCTCAATTACGACCGCAAGGAGCTGGAGAAGAGGCGGGAGGAGAGCCAGCACGAGGTCAAGGGTGAGTGCGCCAGGCGGGATGGGCGCAGTCCGCCTCGCTGGCCCCTGCTCTGGCCCTGTGCCAAGGAAGCGTCCGGAGCCTCAGGGATGCTGCGTCTCTGAGGGAGATACAGCCTCAGCCCTGGGGTGCTCCCAGTCTGATGGGGGGGACTTGGGCCGTGTGCAGTCAGTTATGCCCCCCCCACACACAGGACAAGTGCAAGGGGCCCCCTAGGGCAGCGCTAGGACTGTGCTCCTGGAACCTGGTGAGCTGGGCGGGGGCGGGGTTGCTACCTGGGCCGGGGCCCTGGGGAGTGAGCTGGGAGACTGTAGGCCTGCAGGCTGGCAGGGGTGGAGTGAGAGGAGGGAGAGGATGTGCAAAGGTAGGGGAGGAGCTACTCTGTTTCCATCCCTTGGGGCCACACTGGTCTCTTTCTGTCCCTTTTCGTCCAGATGTGCTGGTCTGGACCAATGACCAGGTGGTTCACTGGGTCCAGTCCATCGGACTTCGGGACTACGCCGGGAACCTGCGCGAGAGCGGTGTGCACGGCGCGCTGCTGGCCCTGGACGAGAACTTCGACCACAACACGCTGGCCCTGGTCCTCCAGATCCCCACGCAGAACACCCAGGTGGGCGCCTTGTCTCTCTCTCTCTCTCTGTCTCCGGCTTAGGGATTTGGGCGTGACCTATCTGGGACCTGTCCCAAAGGGGCCTGCAGTGTCCTCAGACCTCGGAGTTTCCAGCTCCTGGGGAACACGTGTCCTGCACCTGCACGCCCAGCACCCTCCCTGTGCCCACGCCCGCTGCTGTGGGCCCCCTCTCCTCCCAACCCCAGCGCGTAGCCACGCTCCTGGGCCTTCCCCTTCCTCCACCTGCCCCTCTAACCTGGCCTAGCAGGCAGTTGGGTTTCCTCTGTCTGCCTCCCCCAGGTCTTCTCCTGGCCGTAGACTTGAGGAAGCTAAAGATACCTAGGGGCACAGCACAGAGCCTCTGCACGCCGGGGCTTTGTCTCCAGTCAACAGCTTGGGAGATTAGCCCAGTCCTTAAGTGACATTTCGTAATCGTTGGGGAGCTGTCCTTCAGGAAGGGGCTAGAGTCTTTAGAACCTGATTATGTGTGTGGCCTCGCTGGCCTCCTGTGGGCAGTGGATTCTAGAAGGTTCCCGGTTGTGTGAATGCTTCCTGAAGCTCTCCCGTGGAAGGGAGGTGAGTGAGGTTCTGGTCTCACCAGTTCTCACCTCTTCCGGGAATCCCATCAACTCTGACTGTACTGCTGCCGGGCCCCAGCCTTCAGCTCTGCCGACAGAGTGGTCCTGACGCTCTCAGACTTTCCCCATATAGACACACCCCTGCGCTCCTGCGCCCCTGCGCCCTCGTGGATTCAGCGGCCCGTGTCTGCAGCTGTCGGGTCGCTTGTGAAATGCAGCCGCTGGAGCTATTCCAGGAGCAGACACGTTTTGGCTTGAGCGAGGGTAGGGCTGTGTGACTCCTGATTCTGGGTGGTGTTGGCCTCTTGAGGGTGATGGCTGCACACAGGGCCCTCTCTGCAGCGCCCCATCCAGCTGGTCACCATGGGAGTGCAGACCCCTCCATTCTCCAAGGCGGCCGCAGCACGGCTGGCCCTTGGGCAGTGTGAGGCCCGCGGAGCCACTGGGTCCGGTCCTGCCAAACAACCCAGGTGGGACTTGAGAGTCTATAAATCTGCAGCAGGCTCACTTCTCAGTGGATCATTGTGTGTGGCCCGCGAATGATCCAAATGGCGTGTGGCAGAAAAAACGTTCCCCACCTGTGCTCCAGGAGCTTGGATCCCCCCCAGATGCAGCTCCCCTACACGTGTCTGCCTGGTACTGCCTGCACCTCTTTCCTGCACACACACACACACACACACACACACCCCTTGTAAGAGTTTCTGGGGTTCCCACCTGCCATCTTGCACCTGTCATCTTCTCCTTTCCTACCCAGAGGAGTGGTGCCATTGGCTACTGGAAAAAATTATTTGAAGATTTATTTTATTTATTTGAAAGGCAGAGTTACACACACACACAGAGAGAGAGGGAGAGACAGAGAGAGATCTTCCATCTGCTGTTTCGCTGCCCAAATGGCTGCAACAGCCAGGACCGGGCCAGGCCAAAGCCAGGAGCCAGGAGCTTCATCCAGGTCTCCCACATAGGTTCAGGGGCCCAAGCACTGGGGCCATCTTCCACTGCTTTCCCGGGCGCATTAGCAAGGAGCTAGATCAGAAGTGGAGCAGCCGGGTCTTGAACCAGCGCCCTGTGGCATGCCGGCGCGGCAGGTGGTGGCTTACCCTGCTGTGCCACAGCGCCAGCTCCAGCTCCTGGAACATTTGCTGTGCTTCTCCTTTCAGATCATTACTGTGATGTTGCATTCCCACTGCCGACAACCATGGTCCTTACCCACCCGGAAAGGGCTCTCCTCCTCCTGTTTCCCGTGTGGAGGCGCGTGGTTTCTGTGGCTGGCGGCCTGCTGGGAGCAGTAGCCGGCGCTGCTCTGCTGCCTCCCCGCCCTCCTTATCTTCCTGACCCCTTCTGTAGCTTCGCAGCTGCCTGACGCACGATGCAATGCTACATTAAAAGTGCTTAAAAATATTGGGTGGCAGTTCCGGTTGCTTGCACTTCTCACAACTTCTAATGAGTTGATCTCCGGGAGGCCCCCATATCCACGACTGAGTCATCTTCCTAGCGTGGTGTGGGACCACGCTAGGAAGGTGTGGGACCTTGTCAAGTGCACTGATTGAATCCAGCACGCACACAGAGTTCGCGCTGTTCATAGTCCACACGCTGCTCCACCCCGCCAGGCAGGTGGGCAGGCGTGAGTTCCCTGTGGTAGACAGAGTGTGTGTTTTCCTTGCTTTTTTTTTTTTTTTTAAGATTTATTTATTTACTTGAAAGGCAGAGTTACAGAGAGACAGAGAGAGCGAGAAAGAGAGAGAGAGGTCTTCCATTCGCTGGTTCACTCCCCAGATGGCCACAATGGCTGGAGCTGGGCTGATCTGAGGGCAGGAGCCAGGAGCTTCTTCTGGGTCTCCCACGCGGGTGCAGGGGCCCAAGCACTTGGGCCGTCTTCCACCACTTTCCCAGGCCACAGCAGAGCTGGATCGGAAGTGGAGCAGCTGGGAATAGAACCGGTGCCCATATGGAATCCGGCACTGCAGGCGGTGGCTTTACCCACCATGCCACAGCCCCGGCCCTGAGTGTGTTTTTCCGGGACGTGAGTCCTGCCCTGCGATCCTGCTCTTAAAAACACTGCGTGTTTCTAACCTGCACCCCTGAAAGGACTCCCAATGCTTAGTTTCCGTCAGAGAGGACGCCGAGGTTTGCTGGAACGAGCAGCCTCAGGAAGGTGTGTGAGGGACGCTCGTGTGTTCAGTGCACTGACCTCCACCCCTGCCCTGTCTCTGTCCTTGAACCAGAAGCAACAGGTGAAACGTGACATAAAGGTCACTCACTACCCTCCCCCCGCCCCGCCTTTCCCTCTTGCCTGTGTTCTGCAGGCACGCCAGGTGATGGAGAGAGAATTCAACAACCTGTTGGCTTTGGGCACAGACCGGAAGCTGGACGATGTGAGTAGCTGACTGTGGATCAGGGGCCTCAGGGATTGGTGGTTGCTGTTTTGCTGACCGAAGCTCATGGCTTTGCTGGCTGATGATGGCTGGGCGGGCTGAGGGCAGGAGAGCCAGAGGGTACCTGGGTGATGGCAGGTGTTGGGGGCAGGCCGGGCCTCGCAGGAACTGCCTAGGGCTACAGTGAGTGGAGGAGAGGTCTCTGTGGAGTCCTGCTTTGTACAAGAGTTGAAAGCGCTTACGTGATGTTCTCGTAGCATCTTCCAGCTGTGTGCCTGGTCCCAGAGCGCACAGGCGAGGGTCTTCCCCACGCACGCATCTTTGGGACCGTACGCTATTCCTCCTCTCCTGGCCCCGTCTCTAGTGCTGTGAGCCCAGCCCTGCTGCTGCAGGCTCCGTGAGACTTAGCCCCGCTGCGTGGGTGTGGGTGCCGGGGACGTCAGGTGACAGCCTCCGTGTGCTCTGCCAGCCAGACGCGTGGCCTGGCTTTGCTCCTGCTGGCTTTCTCTTGAGCCTCAATCTTGGATCTCTGTCCCCTCTGGTCACTGGGGGAAGAGTCTCTTGGACTTGATGTTCAGGCCCTCCCCTGCGGTGTGGGGAAGACTCTGGCAGCCTCACCGCTCACCTGGGCTCACCTGGCTCCTGAGGACACAGCCCCCCCCCCCCCCCCCCCCGCCCGCCCTGCCTCCTCACCCTCCCTACGCACTTTCCTGTCAGCAGCCCACCTGCCCTCGCCTGTCAGGTCTGCTTCAGCTGATTGGGCTCCCGGCAGCTTAAAAAAAGTCCAGACTCTGTTTATTTTTAGCTTCAGTCAGATTGTTGTCTCCTAGTTGGGTTTAAATGGCTAAACGCCACCTTTACAGAATGATTGCTGTGCTTAGACGGGCACACTCAGGAGCCCCCAGAAGTTGGGGGAGGTTAGATTTTCTCTGCAGAAAGCGGTATTCTGAAATACAGTGTATATATATATATATGTACATGTGTGCACACATATGCACATACATATACCTATATACACATACATACGTACACACATATAACTTATCGCTATATAAATATATTTATCAAATGCTTGTGGAAAATGTGTGCTCCAAAAAAGTTATAGATTTAAAATTTTTTGCACAAAAAACTCTTACTTTTTAATCATATTTTTTCTTGAAGTTTTTTGGAAAGATTTATTTGAAAGGCAGAGGAACAGAGAAAGAGGGAGAGACAGGGAGAGAGAAAGAGAGAGAGAGAGAGAGAGAGAGAGAGAGAGAGAGATCTTCTGTCTGCTGGTTCACTTCCCAAATGCCTGCAAGAGCCAGGGCTGGGCCAGGCCAAGGCCAGGAGCCAGGAACTGCGACCGGGTCTCCCACCACGGGGGTGGCAGGGCCTCAGGTACTCAGGCCACCATTCACTTCCCCTGGGGTGCCTTAGCAGGGAGCTCATGTGGAAGAATGGGACAGCCAGGACTGGAACTAGCATTGCAGTATGAGATGTGGGTGTCCCAGTGCCTGCCTCCCTCACACCAACTTTCTGAAGTTCCCTGTATCTCCCAGTCAAGGAGAGACACTTCCAGGCCCTCCTCCCCTCTGCCCCACTCCCAGAGTGGGCAGTAGGCCCCAGAAGGAAGATGGGAGAGACAGAGGAGACTGCAGGCTGGGGACCCTCCTGCTTACTCCCCACGCACCTTGCGTCTTAGCTTGCTTGGCTGCTGTCGGGAAAATGACTCCTATTCCTGTATATTAGTGCGCTGCTTCCTAACTGAGGAACTAGTTAGTCCTTCAGTCCTATCAGAAACATCCTGACTGCTTCCTCTGGGGCAGGCCTTGGGCACGGTGGTACCAGAAGGTTCCCACTATGCTAACGGCCATCCTGAGAGGCTGCGCTGTCCTTGGCTTGGAGATGAGGGACTTGAAACGTAAACAGGCAGTGTCCCTGTTGTCACGGAGCCGTGGTGGGGCCACGGAGGACTGGTTCTCACAGGAAGCTTGCAGCAGAAGCTAGGTGCTGGGAATAATGTGAGAGCTGGGGGAGCCAGCCCAGGGAGCCAGGGGGCTGCCTTGCCCCCGCCCACGCTGTCTCCTGCTGCCCTTCCTCCGGCCAGTTCTGCCTCTTGGTTCTGGAAGGCTGCCTCCAGTTCTCCCTGCTGGAGACCCGGACGCCAGGAAAGGGAGGAGGAGGGAGCGGAAGGAGCCTCTTAGTGGGAGGGGAGGAAGAGAGGTGCCCACGCTGGAAGTTGGGGAGGCCTGGGGGAGGGCTCTGGGCGGCGGCGATGAGCTGAGGAGCAGGACTTCGCGAGGCCAGCGGGGCATCCAGTCATTGATCAGGTCTCAAGTGCAATGGGGCTCCAGGCGCCACTCGGGACTGGGCGCGCACTGGTCGGAACACCGAGATCAGCTTTCTGCCCTGAAGGAAGGGAGACTGTGGGGGAGAGCGCTTGCGGGAGAGCGTTTGGCGCCCACGCGGGGCACCGCCAACACACTTGAGAGGGTTGCAGTTGAGAGGGTGGAGCCGAGAGCAGGTGGGTCGTTGTCCCTGCCCGCGCAGTTGTGAGAACAGAGGCGTGGAGGGAGACCCGCCCTGGCCGCAAAGCGGCCGGGTGCACTCTGCAGGGTGAGGGAGGGGAGGCCCGTGCAGAGGGGCTGCCTCTGGTAGAGGTGGCTCCTGGGGAGACTTGGCTGAGGGCGCAGATGGTGGGGACTGCTGCCAGGTCTTCTCTGGTCACCTGCCCAACCCGTGGCAGCCCCAGGGCGCCGGCATCCGATGCCACTGGAATAGGTCCCTGAGCAGTAGGCCCCGGGGGAAGATGGGAGAGACAGGAGACTGCAGGTGGGGGACTCAGACCCAAGGGGCCGCACCCGCAGCTGGCAGGGTGGTGGCGGGGGCCTCTGGGTGTCAGCCTGGCCCATCCCATGCGTGACCCCACCCCTCCTTAACAAAGGGCTCAGAGCGGGGGGTGGGGGGCGCAAAACGTGCCACCCCTGCCTCAGGGAGGGAGAGTGGCGCTCCCAACGTGTGTCCCGCGGTGCAGGGCGAGGACAAGGTGTTCCGCCGCGCGCCCTCCTGGCGGAAGCGCTTCCGGCCGCGGGACCACCACGGCGGCGTGCTCAGCGCCTCGGCGGAGACCCTCCCGGCGGGCTTCCGCGTGTCCACGCTCGGGCCCTTGCAACCCCCGCCGGCGCCGCCCAAGAAGATCATGCCCGAAGGTGAGTAGCAGGCTGGCTTGGGCCGCGCGCAGGGCCGGCAGGTGCAGAGGGCGAGGCCGGAGGCTGGCGGCCCCACGCTCCCGGCTGACGCTGCGCTCCCGGTGTGCGCACTAACCCGCCGCTCTGTTCTCCCGCCGACGCGACTCCTGCCAGCCGGGACGGCGGGGGCGCAGAGACTGGAGACCTCCACGGTGCGGACCTACTCCTGCTGACCCCCCAGCCTCCCGCCCCGGGTCTGACGGGGGTGTGCCCGTGGCTCGGGGTAAGTGGGCCAGGCCCCGCGACACGCCCGCCTCCGGCCGCGGCCCGCTCGCTCGCCCGCACTGCCTGGCTTGTCCCTTTCCGCTTCCTGCTTGATCTGGTCCGGTTGTGCGCTTGTAAGGTCGCTGCAGAGCCCCTGCCTGCCCCCCAGGGCCTGCCCGACACTCAGCACAGCGCCTCTCTCTCTCTTTCTCTCTCAGCTCACTCCCACTATCTCTATGGACACATGCTCTCTGCCTTCCGGGACTAGCGGCCGGGGTGTCATGGACTGGGCCGGCCCTCGCCTCTCCTGCTCCTGCCCCGTCCTCTGCAGCTCCGTCTGGTCCATGGCATGCCATTGCCCCGGATCTCAGAACATACCAGTCCACCCCCTTGGCATCCTGTCACCCCGAGTGCCACCCAAGTCCTTTGTAAGTCTCCAGGGGATGAGGCTGGGGTCTCCTGGCGGTGTAGAGGCCCTGGGAGTCCCTGCGTGGGACCCTGGAGCACCCGAGGAAGGGCAGCCCCAGATGGATGTGACTCCCCCTCTTCTGGACCCAGCCTGGGCTGCAGTGGACCCTGGGCCAGGGAAGGGAGAGGCCTTCTGGGAAAGGACGCCCGGGCTCTGATCTGCTTGGGCCTTTTGGCCTTGTGGTTCCTGGCCCCTTGGATGGAGATGGGGAAGCTCAGAGCCCGCTGCCTGGTGGGTGTAGAGGCAGGCCAGCTGGAGGGAGAGCAGTGGCCCAAGAGGTCATGGCAGTGAGCCCTGTTGCAGCCGTAGGGGGGGCTCCTAGGGGCTGTTGGGTGTGGAACTTGGCTTTGGGGCAGGACAGGTCTGACCTGGTGCTTGCTGGCTCTGTTCCCAGCGTCCCTCCCCCTCCTCACTTCTTTAGTAATCGTAGCCCTTCCGAGGGAACCTGATGCATGGGTTCCGTATACATTGACCCTAAAATCAGGTGTGGGAGAAAGACGATCAGACTGCCCTTCTTCAGCCAGTCACGTCCAGGCCCTGGAGGTCCAAAGCTGGTGAGGGCTGCCATTCCCTTGCTTGTCCCCCAGTTGGGCTCTTGGTGTGTCCGGAAGCCACTGAGCTTGCCCAGCCCCCATCTGCTCCGTTGCTTTCCCCGTAGCCTGGTGGGAGCCCAAGAGCATGAGAGGTTCGGGCAGCAGGAATTCAGTTCCCAGTCAGTCCCCCTGTCTCACCCGCTCCTCGTCCTTCCCAGCATCCAAGTTCAGGGTCGGTTGGTGGGGCCCAGAGTGAGAGGGGAGCAAGGAGAAACGCCTGGACCAGCGTGGTCTCGCCCACCCCACGGGGCCTGAGCAGCTGGTGTGCAGCACTGCCACCTTGTGCTCCGAGGGGAGACAGAGCACCCTGTGCGGGAGGAACCACGGAGCCTGGGGCTGTGTCAGGGCACTGTGGCCTCTTCCACCTGTCCACGGAGGAGAGGTGGACCACAGAGGGGCCTTGCTCCTAGGCTTGGGTAAGGCAGCCACCTGCCCTTGCCCTTCTCCTGTGTCCTGCCCCGGCTGCCCCAGGCTACTGGGAAGGAGTTGCTGAGAGTAAGTGGAATGGGGACAGATGACCCCTGTCCCCGGGCAGTGGCTGCTAAGGGTCCCTGAGACTGGCAGAGGGAAGCGCTAGATGGCCATCTGCCCCCAGGTGAGAGATGAGCCCTGTCTCCGGCCATCACGTAAGTCAGCAGCAGGGGCAACCGGGTCCGTTTGGGGCCCCTTGGGAGGCACTGCAGGGAAGTTGGCGCCTGCCGGGTGGAGGGTTGCTGCCTCGTGAGTCCCTTGTCTCATAGTCAAGCTGGTTTTTCCTCTGGAGAGTTGCCAGTGTCCCGAGCCTTCCCCACGGCCTCCCGTGTCTCATCAGGTCCCTTCCCAGTACTGTATTAGCTCCGTGCGTCAGGAGTGGGGTGCGGGGGAGAGCGGGGATGTGTATGTACCAATAAACAAACCTGATTTTAAGACAACATACAGATGGCCTCTTGTCTTTCTTCTCCGACCCCGGACACACCCGGCTGCTTTTCCAACCTGAAGGGCTGCTGTTCTCTGGGAAGGAAATTCCAGAATTTGGTAAACTGGGTTGGGAACCTGGCGCGGAGACCGAGATGGAGTGCGCAGCCTGTCTGCTGGGCCTCGTCACACTCTGCCTTTGCCTTTGCTTGTGTCTTCCACGCACGCCCCTGGTCACATCGCCCCACCACCTCAAGGGAGGGGCCAGCCCATGGGTGACCCGGCTGCCTCGTGCCCACATGCTCCCCGGTGTCCAGTCTGCCTAACTCAGAAACCTTGTACCCAGCCAGCCCCGTGGCTGGAAGACAGCTGCTTTTGCCCTGCAGTCCGAGCCTTCGCGGCATCCCCTGGGGGGCCTTGCCTACCAGCTGCCAGTGGAATTGGGCGGAAACCGACTTCCTGAGCCCCCGACACTGCGTGCGTGCTGCACGCGCTGCCCTGTAGTTGTCGCCCGTCTGTTGCACTCGGTGCTGCCAGGACACCCCTTAGCTCAGTCTCCTGAGCTCTGTGCCCAGACAGACGTGTGGATGAATCAGTGACCACGCTCGTCTCGCAGGGTTGTCTGAGACCCCATGGAGAGGCCAGACACTGAGCCTCTTCTGGCCTAGCACCTAGCCCTGGGGTCCCCTCCCTCCCTCCCCACCGTCAAAGGTAGAATTGAAACCTTGGTGACCACCCGGCTGTGGGAACGAGGTCTGGAGGGCCCCAGGGACACCACTTCCTCACACTGCCGTCCGCTGGGACTGGGACTGGGGGTTGCAGAGGGAGCAGCTCCTGTGCAGATGTGAGTCTGGCTTTGGATGTGCCGAACTTGAGATAAGACCCCCACATGGTACTTCTGTGGGCATTCGTAGGAGAGTCTGGTTTCCTTGCGAGAACCCTTTCTTTTGTCCCCTCTGGGAGTGATCCAAGTGGGGTGAGACGCCTGTGCCCGAGGGAGGACGGGAGTGAGGTGCAGCCAGAATCGCCAAAGGGTAGCGGTTTGGATCCCGCCCAGGCCGGGCGTTGCTCTCTGAGCCAAAACCGCGGATCCTCTTGGAGTCTCCTGGGCTCCTCTGCTCTGGCTTGGAGCCTAGAAACCAGGGAGGTAGGGAGGTCCCAGGGACGGCACAGGCTGGGGTTGGGGTTCTGTCCGGGAGACACCCTGGGTTGAGGGGTTCCTCTCCTTTCCCGTCCTCTCCCATTGGCCCAACCTCCTGCTACTGCAGCCCTTTGAAAGGGTTTCCAGTCGGCCACATCGGTTACTTGGAGACGTGAGACACCTGGGGCTGTTTATCCGCGTGCACCAAGCCCCTGAGTGATCTAAACACTCGAAAGTTCCCGTTCATACCGGCAATTGGTGTGTCAATTTCAAATAATTCTTTTCATTCTAGCGGATTCCCTATAGTCCGTTATTAGGCACCGTTTGATTAACCCGGTTTATTGTAGGTGCTTCCTCTGAAGAATGATCTCGGCTCATTTCCCTGAAGAACCTCACTCATTACTCATTAACTGGAGCTGCATGTGTAATTGTGCTGCGAAGGTGAAGAACTTGCTCATTTAAGGAAGTCCCAGTGCTTGGGCGCCGATCATTTTTTTCTGTTAAAATAATGAGCGAGTCTGGGCGCCTGCTTGGCAAAGCTCACTCCTGTGCCCTTCCCAGCTGTTTTTTTTTTTTTTTTTTTTCTCTCCCTTTAAGACTTTCGGGGCTGTGAGAAAGTAAGCAGACGGCAGCTGACGTGTCGGGGGTCTCTGGACCCCAGCCGCCCCTGCTGGGGCTGCTCACGCCTTCCAGAGCGTGGCCATGAACCTCAGCTTCCAGCGGTACCCAGGCGCAGCCCCAGCGCCCGTCACCTCCTTGGCCGACCTGGCCCCCAGGAAGAAGGAGGGCAAGGGGTGGGCAGGGCTGCAGCCTCCCTGGGAGCTGGGGAGGTGCCCAGCAGAGCCCCGAGCCCCAGGGGAGGCTGTGTCGCTGGGTGTTTTGGGTGGGTGATCAGCACCAGCCTGGGTGCTGCCCTCATCCCCAGGGCAGCTCCTGTCAGGGAGAAGGCCTCGGGCTTCCTCTCCAGCCGCCCACGGGGCAAGACTGCAAACTCATGAAAGAGCGGAAGCCCAGTGGGCCCAGCCCCGACTGCTCACTTGTGGCAAGCAGGCCCTGGGGAGGCCCTTCCACTCCTTTGACCTGGGAGCTTACCGGGAGCTGTGCTCTCCTTTTCTTCCTTAGGCAGTTTCTGGACAAACAGGGACCAAGTGTTCAGGAGCAGGGTCCGGAGGGCAGCTGTGGGGGCGCCGGCTCGGCATGGCCGCCAGAGCCTGGCTCCCGGGAAAGTTGTCCAGGGTCCTCATGCACTGAACAGGGAGGGGCCACGGTGGGGCACGCGCTGAGCCCCGGACTGCAGTAATGGCTCTGAGACTTAACGATTCGCAAGTAACCTCGTACTCTCAGCCGGAAGCAGTTGGAATTCATAAAGTTTTTACTAGGTGTTCTTGGTCTGCTCCAGGTGTGGCCCCTGGTAACTGCCTAGTTAAGCCCAGTAATCTCTGTCCCCAGCCTTCCCACACACCTGTACCTCAGCCAGCCAGCAGGGAGCAGCCCCAGGCCGAGGACCTCAGCGTCCCTTCCTTTGTCGGTTCTGCTCACCCCCTCCCTCTCCGCCAGTACAGTCTCCATCGCGCTCTGCACCCTGGGTGGGGACCAGAACCCCTTCTGCCTGCAGGGAGCAGCAGGACTGCTGAGCACATGAACACATTCTCTGGCCTGCAAGGAAAAGACAGTGGCTGATTTAAACGCCTCCTCTTTCCTTGCACTGGGGCTGTGTCCCCGGGGGAGAGGAGCCCCACCCTCCCCAGCTGTGCACCCCCTGGCGGTAGGCAGCACAGGGCACGGAGCACGCAGCCAGGGCAGCTGCAAGGAGGTGGGCAGGTGAGCACACCTGTGAATTAGGGTGCAGTTGAGAGCTCTGCAGGTTCCCTCTGGAATTGTCTTCACCCAGCCTAGGCACCAGCGCCCCCCGGCGGTTGTCATGGCTGAAGTAGCACCTTGACAGTACGGACTCCATTTTGGAGAACCTGAGACTCCATTCTGGGAAGGTGCCCCCCACCCCATGAGACTCTGGTCTGAAACTGTGATCTAGAACAGTTGGACAATAGCAGTCCACTACATCACTCATGGCAGAGCATAGAGACCCCCTAGCGTGATCACTCAAGCTTGGGAGTGGATAGGCTGCACTTGGGTTAATGAAAAAAATGTAATGTGTCTATGTCCTACATGTGATTAAAACCAATACCTGGATTAATGTCGATTATAATTAAAATTGTTAAGATTGTAACTGGTATTGTCAATATTATACTTGATACTAGTTTCTCATAGGTTTTAGGTCAGCTTGACCCTGGTAACCATGTATTCCCCCCGATCCTAGCAACCATGTATTCCCCTCCTGATTTTGTGGTTTTTGCCTTTATAAACCCTGTTGCTTTGGGCTTCAGGGTCGAGAGTTCTTCTGGGCATGAGCCCACTCTCCGCCGCCGCCAATAAAGGACCATCAAATTTTATCAATGTGTGGTGCTCCTTGGTTTACACTCGCTTAGGTACAACATGGCAAAAGGGCAGGAGTCCCCGGTGTCCAGTGGCCGCCAGCAAGACAGTGAGGCGGTGCCTCTGGGCCCCCACCCACGGCCATCTGTGGAAGCCCCTCCAGCATCTGCAGGGTGGGGTGGGAAGGGGCGGGGCCCTCCTCTCCTCCCTGCCCGCTTCCCACGACATCATCATGGACGCCTTTCTAGCAACCAGTCTTTATTTCATTTTTTAAAAAAGGAAATCCAAAATAAGTTAGCAAAAAGAGAAAGAAAAAAAGAAAAATACAAAACAACAGCAAAACCACACACTGCTTAGTTCACAAACAAAATCACCCAAGAGCCGCGTGCCCGACCCCGCCTGTGCCCGGCAGCTTCATGTCAGCCCAGGAGGCCTTGGTCGGATGGCAGCTTTACAACAACACACGCAACACAACAGAAAACATAAAACCACTGGGGCGTTCCCGTCTTCACCGCCAGAGCTCGGCCCCGGGGACCTGGGGGCAGAGGGTTGAACCTCCCCGCTGCTCCCGCAGCTCAGGGCGGGCCCAGCCCAGCCACTGGCGGCAGGAAGAGACCGGAACAGGAGGCAGCGTGGCTGGTCGGGGTGGGTGGGGTGGGGTGGAATTAGAGGCTGTGTGTTGATAAAAGGAGGCTCCTGAGTTTGCCCCTGAGCTGGGGGCATACACAAGGGGGCGCTCTGGTCCCCTGCTTTGTCTCCCTGGAAAGGGGACATCCTGGGCCCCAAGGACTCAGCTAGAGGAGGACCTCCCTTCCCTTGCTGGGCGGCGCGTGAGCCTTACGGGGATGCGGAGGGGTGGCCTGCCGGCGGCAAGCCCAGGACTGGCTCCCTGGCATCAGGACAGCCTGGCTCAGGAGGCCCCTGCTGCAGAAGCGCTGGCGTCTGCGTCCAGCTGGGGGGCTGGCGCCGACACCCGGCCCGGCAGAGCGTCTCAGTTGGGCATGGTTTCATCGGGGAAGGCCACAGACACGTCCTCCACGGCGATGCTGTCCACGATGGAGGTGAGGGAGTGCAGGTTGTGGGCGTCTGTAGGGTCGGCTGCAAGCATATGGTCTGCAAGGGGTTGGGCGGTGTTACCTGGGCAAGGAGGGGGTCTCCAGGGCAGAAGGCAGCTGAGCCCCACGTCCTGGCCCTCGTCTCTCCCAAAGCCGTGTGTGTGTGTGTGTGTGTGTGTGTGTTGGGTGGGGGAGGGTCCAGGATCCGGAAGCAGCTACTCCTTAGAGGAGCCAGCGTGGTGTCTCCTTGGGGCCTGGAGCTGCCCTTTGCTGGGCCAGTGTTGCAGCACTGACTCAGCACTTCCCAGGGACCCCTGGGGCCGGGGCGTTCTCTGCTGAGGTCAGCGCCAGGCCCCAGCTGGGGAGCTGCAGGAGGCCACTCTTTGGCTCGGTGAAGCTGCAGGGACCCCAGGCCCTCCCAGCCCACCATCTGGATCCCCGGAGAAGCCGCAGGAAGGCAACAGGAACAAGGAATCAGGTAAGGGGAGAACCTGGCCCAGGAAGGGACTCGGGGACCGAGCCAGGATTGCTGCCAGGTCAGGCCTCACTTACCTCCTGGGTTGGGACCGAACTCCAGCGCGTTGCCCCACTCCGGGCTGCAGGAGGCGCTGTGGGAGCTGCATTCGCTGGGCACCTGCTAGACAGGGCGAGGGCCCAAGGTCAGGGCACAGCCACCCGCGGATGTGTGTCTGTGCTAGTCACAGTGGGCGGAAGCGTCTGTGGTGGGGACAGAGGGTGGACCCCAGGTTGGCCCACCTCCGGCGCAGGCCACCCCTGCCAGATATTCCTAACAGCCAGTGCCCCTCCCACCCACAGGGGCCTGGCTGCTGCCATCCGGGGAGGTGATGTGGCCCTCCCAGGACACCAGCTGGCAGGACGCTCTGGTCTGGTGACTGAGGCAGAGTGTCCGGCCCCACCAGGGTCGCCCCTGCCACAGGCCTGCTGCCCCTCGGGATGGGGTGGGGTGCGGGCCCTGCCCATCCTCTCTGCTGTGCTTGGCTTGGCCCTTTAGGATCTGGTGCCAGCCTTCGGATCGGACCTTGCTGATCCCCGAGCTGACTGTGCGCTTGCTCCAGGGGCCCTCGCCACGCTGCCCCCACCCCACCCGCATCTCTCGCCCAACTCCTGGGGGCACAGGAGGTCGGCTGGACAGCCCAGCTCTGATGAGGGCCCCGGAGACGCCACCTGGCACCTGCCCCTCCCCCTCCCCCTGTGGGGGTCCCCTGGCTGCCGGCTTACCCCTGGCTGGGGCCCGGCGCCGCCCCGGTAGCGCAGGTCTCGCTCCTCCTGGTTGAGCGAGCTGAGCAGCGCCTGCAGGCGCTCGATGTACTGGATGGCGCTGCGCAGGATCTCCACCTTGGGCAGCCGCTGGTTGGGGTTGAGCAGGGTGCTCCTCTTCAGGGCCTCGAAGGCCTCGTTCACTTTCTTGAGCCTGCGCTTCTCCCTGAGCGTGGCTGCCCGCCTCCGGTCCACGGACACTGACTTCCTCTTACACACCTTGCACGCCCACGGCAGGCATTGGCCCGGGCAGTGCTCGGGGGTCCCCAGCCCCTTGTCTTCCAGGGGCCCCCGGGCCTCCGGGCTCAGGCTGAGCTCAGTCCGCTCGTAGCCCGGCGGCTCGAAGCCCTGGAGGTGGACGGGCAGGTAGTTCTCCCCGTCGTAGAAGCGGGGCTCCTGGTAGAAGTAGGGAGACGTCTCATAGAGCTCCATGGGGTCGGAAGAGACCGGTTCCTGCCACCAGCCCCCAAGCTCCTGCAGCCCCTCACGCCAACTGCTGGGTGCCATTTAAACCCTCCCCGCTGGCATGGAACCAGAGATAAATATAGCCAACGCCGCGGAAACCTGAGCCCCTCTAAGCTGTTGCTGCGCATCAAGACGTATTCAGGGGCTTAGATGTGCGTCCCCTTCCCTCTCCCCCATGGCCCCCACCCCGCCCGGGCCGCCTGCCCCTGGCCTGCCGGCTCCTGTGCACGGGTCGGGAGGCCGTCGGGTGTAATTTGATTAGTTTTCATTTCTCAGCAGCCCCTGTGGGGCAGGCACATCCCCCTCTCATCTGCTCCTTTCAATTATTCCTGGCTGGGCGGCCCGCCTGCGCCTCCTTGCTGGTCGCGGAGAAGCCCTTGGGTGCCAGGGGAGGAGGGGGTGGGGAAGAGTAGCTCACCCACCTCCCCGTGTGCTGACAGCCCCTGGGCCCCCGTGTGGGTAGAAGGAGCCCCTGGAGAGACCACCCCAGAGGTTGGGCGTGGTGGGGACTCCTGTCCAGGGATAGGAAGGACCCACGCAGAGGGGCAGAAGGCTCAACTTCTGGGCTTCCAAAGTGGCTTTGAAATCCTCGGGTGCACGTGGCTGGGGGTGGGCCGAGGCAAGGGAGACTTCCTGGGTTTGGGGCAGGGGTCAGGGTCCAAGCAGGGATTAGAACTCACAGCCCCCACGTCGCCAGCTTCCCGCAGTGGTGTGGCCTCCCTCTCCTCACCCTCGACCTCTGGACCCGTCTCTGCGTGTTCAACTGTTTTCTGCCCTCTTTCAGACACCAGAACCCTGCTGGGCCCCCACTGTGGGTGGGGGAGCAAAAGAGGAGCGAGCAGAGCCCCGCAAACCCCACTGCACACCCACTTCCCCTGGCCGGCGGGCCGGGTTCTGCGGCCCCCTCCTGTCTGAGCCATCAATCTCAGGTCTCAGATGGCAGGTGCAGGGGAGGCTCTGAGGCTCTGGTGTCTCAGCCCACGGATGCCTCTGGCTCTGGAGGGTCGGTTTCTCCTGGTGCAGTGGGCAGACCTGGGGCACCTACAGTGAACAAGCCTCAGCCCTAGGGTTGGGGTTGGAGGGACCCCCCACCTTACCCCCTCCCACCTTACCAGCCGGTACACCTCACTTGACCCAACCCCAGTGCCCAAATCCCCTTTCCAGGTGGCCCTTGTCCGACTTCTGCTGACATCACAGAACAGCCATGGCACCCCGCGTGGCTCTGAGTGGTAGCCTGCCTCCTGTCTTTGACTCTGATCCCGGGTTTCTCCCCAGGCCCCCGTGAGTGAGGCTGATCCATCCCGCTACCCCTGTCTTGTGACAGATGAGACACCCACTTCAAGTTTAAACCCACGCCCAGGACAGAAGAGAAAGCAGTGGGCGCTGGGGGTTGGGGAGGTGGGATCTGTATGGAGTTGGAGGCCTGACTCTTTCTTCCTGCTGTCCTCAGAGGAGCCAGGAAGAGGCTGGCGAGGCGAGGTGAGACGGGGACCCAGCCGCACGTGTTCAGGGGCGGTGAGGTCTTGCCAGTGTGATAGGAAGTGGCACGCGGCTGCCGTGGGCTCCAGTCCCTGCTGTGGCTTCAAGAAGGAGCCTGGGCTGGCACCGCGGCTCACTAAGCTAATCCTCCGCCTTGCGGCACCGGCACACTGGGTTCTAGTCCCGGTCGGGGCTCCAGATTCTGTCCTGGTTGCCTCTCTTCCAGGCCAGCTCTCTGCTGTGGCCAGGGAGTACAGTGGAGGATGGCCCAAGTGCTTGGGCCCTGCACCCCATGGGAGACCAGGATAAGTACCTGGCTCCTGCCTTTGGCCGCGGCGGCCATTGGAGGGTGAACCAACGGCAAAGGAAGACTCTCTCACCTCTCACTGTCCACTCTGCCTGTCAAAAAAAAAAAAAAAAAAAAAAAGGAGCCTGATTTCCCATATACTCCCCACGAAACCAGGAGAAAGGAGAGCCTGCCCAGTGTGTGTGCATTTGCACATGTGAGTGTGTGCATGTGTGCAGGGTGATGGTGCATGGTTGCTTTGTAAATGACGGGCACCTGGCACAGAAGCTCCCAATGAGTCTGAGTCCCTCTTGCTTTGTTTTCTCACTCCTGGGTCCCACCCTTAGCCCCCTTGTCCTCCCCCAGGCTGTCCTCATGGCTTCCAGGCCCACAAAAGCAGGGGAGGAAGAGGGAGAACCCAGAGTTCCTCCCTCCCTCCCTTCCTTCAATGAAGAAACAAGCATTGGGCGCCATGTGCCAGCCGCGGGGCCCCTGGCGAGGGTGAGGCGTGATCCCTCCGCCTTCAGCGGGCGCACAGTTGGAGAAGGCAGGTGCGTGTGTGAAGCCGTCTTCCCGAGGGAGACCGTGTCCGCAGTAAAAGCCGGGATCGGTCCACTCGCTGCTTCCTCTCCGCAGACACAGACTTCCTGAGCAAGAACCTTCTGGGTCCTGGCTGGGAGCAGACCGGGCGAGAGCAGGGGACACCCACAACCTCTGTCCGCCCCAGGCTGTATCCCCACCCATGTCTGAGGGGGCACGGCTGGGGGTCAGGGTGACCTCATGTGTCCGGGTCTCTGCGAGTCCTTGTGTGCAGATGTGCCCATGTTGGCCTGAGCGAGGTGGCCAGGGAGCATGTCACGGGCCCTGCGTGTCCCACAGGACCACACATAACGGACACTCTGCTCTTGCAAACCTCAGTGGGGGGCCCATGCCCACTGTGTTCAGCTCTCTGAGCCAAGCGGAGCTGCACCTAGAGCCTTGGTCCTCCTCCCCAGCACCCCCTCCACCCCCAGAAGCTGCCCTCTGATGGATGGGAACACATTGGTGCCAAGCACAGAATAGCCTTTGTGCTCCGCCACCAGCGGCCATCCATCAGCTGTAACCTGACAGCAGGGCGTCCGGCCCTAATCCCCACCCGGCCCGCGCCTGTAACCGCCTCCTCCAGCGGCTCTGCTCCCTCCACCGGGGGCTCTCCCACCCTGACTGTCTGTTTGCATGCTGGGCTGACCTCATTTGCATAGGAGCAGCTGGATTTCAAACCACTTCACCTGCTCCCTGCCCCTTCCCGGCCCTCTGCTGCACACCCGGACACAGAATTCTGGCCCAGCATCCTCCAGTCCCCGCCGACCTGGGCGAGACTCAAAGCACGCCTCCCACTCCAGAGTCTCACATGCGTGGGAACAGAGGAGCAAGAAGCAGGGTCTGGAAGGGTGGGGGCCTCTGGCTTCTGCAAGCAGGCCCTGCCTTCTGTGTCCCCCCGGGCCGAGGTTCAAGTGCTGTCACCCAGGCCCGGCTGGGGCGGGTGGCAGGAGCTCATGTGCATTTCCGTGGGGCACGGATGCTCACACCTGACACGGGCTGGCTGACTGTGTGGGTGGCAGCCTCGTGGCAGGGGTGAGAACAGCTCACAGAACCGCAGACTGTCACAGCCACAAGGCGCTCCAGGGCTGTCTCGCCCACCTTCTGCCCCTGCATGGGGGCAAACAGAGGCTCCGAGGTGGGGGGTGACTTGCTCGAGGCACGCGGAGGACTAGCTAGTGGTGGAAGTGCCTGCTCTTAGCTTAGGCCTGGGGGCTTCATCCAGGTGCCTTCTCTCCCGGCACTGAGGCTGGGGGGGTGGGGGGAAGCCGGGGCGGGGAGGGAGAGGAAGGTGCCGCGGGTGAGTGCGTGCTCCCCAGGGGTGCCTGGGCCCACAGGTGGGCAGCAGTGAGGGCACTGGAGGCATCGGCGAGGTGCCAGGTGGGGACATGGAAAGGAGATGCAGGAGGAGAGCCGGGTGGGGGTGCTAAGGGGGCGCTGGGGAGGAGGTGGGGAGAGGTTCAGAGCAGATGGGATGGGGCTGAGAGGTGCGGAGGAAGGGCGGGCCCCAGGCCCCTGGAGGCCACGCATTGTTTCCACGGGAGGCCCGGGCATCGGATAACCACTGGGAAATCCCGTCCCTGCCTGGAATCTGGAGCTCGGAGCCAGGCTCATTCTTCAAGAATCTCTGGCTTTGGGGTGGGGAACGGTGTGGGCCCCGGGCCGGAAGGGCCTGTGTCTGGGAAGTGCGTGGGATCAAGGGGAGGGGGCTGCAGAGACCCAGGAGAGAACCTGCCAGTCGGGCACCAGTAGGGCGCCATGGGCCCTGGGCTGGGCGCTGGGCCTGCCGCGGGTGAGGCTGTCCAGTCCTTGGTGCTGTGGGGAAGTCGGGGCAGAGCAGGGGACAGAGCCCCGGGAAAGGACTCAGCACGGTGCCGGCGCGTCTCCCCGCTGGTTCTGGTTCCCCATCTGTGAATCCGGGTCTGGAGGGAAGACCCTCAGCGTGTGGCCTGGAGGAAGGGGCCAGGGTAGGGAGACCAGCAGGCTCCAAGAGGGCTGCTCCCCGACCCGTTCCGGCCGCCTCGAGCCCTTGGCCTGGTTGGTGACACTCACCCTGGACGCGGCCCCCTGCCCGTCCCCCTCTGCTAGCCCTGCCCGCTCCGTGGGTCCGGGAGCCCGAGCCCCCCCCTCCTCCCGGGATGCTTCTATTTCTGCCTCTTTGACAAGTTGTGACATATTTGGGAGCAGCTGCTGCCTGGGTGGCGGTGCCGCTGCTTTCCTCCTGGCTCTGTCCTCTCCTCCCCAATCCCTCCGACAGCCACCCCTTCCCAGAACGCGCTGGGCCCTCCCCGCATTCCCCACCTCCTGGGGTGTCTGCAGGGCTGGTGGAGGCCTAGCTGAAGCAAAGCGAACTTGCGTCTGGCAGGGAAGGTCGGGGGCCAAGGGCACGGGGCAGGATCTCCGGGGAGCCCAGGCTGGGAGGTTGGAGCTAGGCTCTTCCCTTGGCTCAGGCTGCATTTTCTGTCTTTAAAATGGGGGTGTGGGTGCCTTCCCTGCCAGCCACCAGTTGCTTGGCCCCCTCCGCACTGCTCGTCTCCCCCTCTGGGCCCGCAAGCTCCATCCCCAAGGTTCCCGTCTTCTCGGAGGTTCTAGAAAGAGGAGCAGGCGCTTTCTCCTCCCGATCCCTAACCTCCCACCCACTCACTGGCTTCTGCCACCCCTGGGTCGTTCCAAGGGCTCCTCCAGGACCCCCAGGGACCCTCAGCAGGGTCCAGCGCCAGGGGCTTCTGCACACCTGTGCTCACCTCACCTGGAAGGTTTGTGTTCTCTCGGCTTCCGCGTTCCTCCATCTCCCGCTGCTCCTCTGATTCTTCTCAACATTTCTCCTCCCTGTTCCCTCTCCTCTGTCTTTTTCTCTTGAGTTCCACCTCTGCCCACCCTTTAAGAGGGATTTCCTAGTCTTTGTCCTCTTTTAAAAGATGATTTATTTTTATTTATTTACTTGTTTGAAAGTAAAAATTACAGAGAGGGAGAGATAGAGAAAGAGCGAGACAGAGACGGAGAGAAATCTTCTATCCACTGGTTCACTCCCCAAATGGCCACTACAGTAAGGCCTGGGTCAGGCTGAAGCCAGGAGCTTCTTCCAGGTCTCCCATGAGGTGCAGGGGCCCGCGCCTGGAGCATCCTCCACTGCTTTCCCAGGCCATAGCAGAGAGCTGGATCGGAAGTGGGGCAGCTGGGTCTCAAACTGGCGCCCACATGAGATTCCAGCATTGTAGGTAGCAGCTTTATCCACTATGTCATAACGCTGGCCTTGAACTCTTTTTTTAAAAACATTTTTACTTATTTATTTTGAAAGAGTTAAAGAGAGAGAGGGAGATGCAGAGAGTGAGCAAGCAGGCGACAGAGCAAGCGCTTCCATCGCTGGTTCACTGCACAGATGAGGACAACGGCCAGGGCTGGCCAGGCCCAAGCCAGGAGCCAGGCGCGTCTTCCGGGTCTCCCACGTGAGTGCCGGGGCCCAGACACTTGGGCCCTCTTTTGCTGCTTTTCCCAGGCCATTAACAGGCAGCTGGATCCGAAGTGGAGCAGCTGGGACTTGAACCAGCGCCCATATGAGAAGCCAGCATTGCTGGGGAGTGGGGGGGGGGCTTTACCCACTAGGCCACAGTGCCAGCCCCTTCTCATCTCTTACCCTTCTACACTGAGTTGTCCCACAGCCCTCTCAATCCCTGCTCTCCTCCCCACCTCAACAATCCCTAGACTCTCAGAGGCCAGGAATTGTTGCTGTTTCTACTCACTAGGGGGAGAGGCTTCATTGGAGCCACAAGGCACGGAACAGGGGCCACGGACAACTCACAGCCTGGTAATAAAGCAAGCGCGACTCTGGGTCTCCCTTCAAAAGGTTTAAAAATGAGCCTCAGAAGCATCGGACTCCCTGCCAACACCAAGTCCCACAGCCTTCAAATGATTATAATAGAATCTAACACTCAGTCGTATAAAATTCAGATTGTCAGTCATCCAATCAAATAGTAGCAAACAAGCAGGAAGCAGGAGAAATCGTGACCCATAATGAGGAGAAAAATGAGCCCACTGGAATAGATTCAGGAGTGGTGGAGGTGATGGGCTTATGAGACGGGGGCTTCAACGTGACTGTTACAAATGTGTTCAGTGCACTCAAGGCTTCATGTGAAAGTGTGAACGCAGTGAAGAGAGAAATGGAAGCTACAAAAGGGAATCCAAATCTCACTGAATGGGATTATGCATCCGTCTGCTCGGGCTTCCATCATGAAACACCAGAGGCTGGCGTTCTGCAGGCTGAAGCTTGCGGCTGGGGAAGTTTGAGGCTGAGGGCTCTCTTCCCAGCTTGCAGATGGCTGTTTTCATAATCATGGGGACTTTCCTTAGTGTGGAGAGAGAGAGAGAGAAAGAGAGAGAGAGAGAGAGAGAGAGAGAGAGGTTTCTGCTGTCTCTCCATATAAGGTCTCTGATTCCATGAAACCAAGGCCCCACCTTCAGGACCTGACCACTCACCAAAAGCCCCGTCCCCAACACGATCACCCTGGGGCTGGGGGTTCCACATGTGAATTTTGAGGGGGCAGAACCCCAAGTTCATGACAGAGTAATAGCAGATTAGACATTGCAGGAAAAGAGGCTGGAATCTAGATAGAAGCCGTGGGAACTACGCGTGCTGAAACATGGGGGAGAAGCCCACACGAGGCAGGCCTGTGGCACAGGGGGAAGCTGTCGCCTGGGACACTGTGCCCCGTCTGAGAGGACTGGCGACTCCCCTCTGACCCAGGGAGGTCTGCTGACCGCAGGTCTGTGCTTGGGAGGCAGTGGGGGAGTGGCTCAAGCACTTGAGTCCCTGCCACCCATGTGGGAGACCAGGCTGAGTCCCTGACGCCTGGCTTTGGCCCAGCCCAGCATGGGTTGTTGTGGGCATTTGAGGAGTGAACCAGTGGATGGAAGACCTCTCTCTCCCTCACTCACTCTCTCTCTCTCTCTCTCTCTCTCTCTCTCCTCTCTCCTCTCTCTCTCTCTGTCTCTGCCACTGTCTTTCAAATAAATAAAAATGGATAAATAAACACTAAGAAGAAAGCAACAAACAAAAAGTTCCAGTGACCATGGAATAATAGCATACCAAGAGGACTAAATACATGTAATTGAAGTCCCAAGAAGAGGCAGACAAATGTTAAAATAATGGCCTCATAATTTCCAAATTTGATGAAAACTGTAAGCCCGCAGACCTAAATCACTCCATAAGGCCCCCAAAGGGATAAACTCAAGGAAAGGCACACCAAGACACTTCGTAATCAGTCTGCTGAAAACCAGTGATAAAAGAAAAACTTCAGGACTGGCACTGTGGCACAGTGGGTTAATGCCCTGGCCTGAAGCACTGGCATCCCATATGGGCGCCAGTTTGAGTCCCAGCTGCTCCACTTCCGATCCAGCTCTCTGCTATGGCCTGGGAAAGCAGTAGGTCCCTGCACCTGCTTGGGAGACCCGGAAGAAGCTCCTGGCTCCTGGCTTCGGATTGGCACAGCTCCAGCCATTGTGGCCAATTGGGGAGTGAACCATTGGATGTTAGACCTCTCTCTCTCTGCCTCTCCTCTCTCTGTGTAACTCTGACTTTCAAATAAATAAATAAATAAATCTTTTTTTTTTTTTTAAGAAAAACTTCGCAGCAGCCAGAGACGCTAGATCTAGAAGAACAAAGGCAGGAACCACTGCTGACCTCTTGTCAGACGCTGTGAAGGCCAGAAGGCACTAGAATGGCACCTGCCAACCCGACGTCAAGGGCAGTGGGTGTGTCTCTCAGGAGGGAGTTACAATGCCGCTCGGAACACCCACATCCCCTGTCAGCGCCTGGCATCACCGTTCCAGCCTTCCGCTAATGCACACCGTGGGGGCCAGCAGGTGACGGCTCAAGTAACTGGGTCCCTGCCACCCACAAAGGAGACCCAGGCTTTGGCCTGATTTAGCCTTGGCTGTTGTGGGCATTTTGGCAGTGAACCAGTAGATGGAAGGATCTCTCTCTCTCTCTCTCTCTCTCTCTCTCTCTGTCTGCCTTTCAAATAAAAATAAATAATGTTAAAAGGAAGATAGCCTTTGAGAACTCAAGGTTACATAAAGACTTCTTCAAAAAGCAGCTGGCGGCCGGCGCCGCGGCTCACTAGGCTAATCCTCCGCCTAGCGGCGCCAGCACACCTGGTTCTAGTCCCGGTCGGGGCGCCGGATTCTGTCCCGGTTGCTCCTCTTCTAGGCCAGCTCTCTGCTATGGCCCGGGAAGTGCAGTGGAGGATAGCCCAAGTGCTTGGGCCCTGCACCCCATGAGAGACCAGGATAAGTACCTGGCTCCTGCCTTCAGATCCGCGCGGTGCGCCAGCCATTGGAGGGTGAACCAACGGCAAAGGAAGACCTTTCTCTCTGTCTCTCTCTCTCACTGTCCACTCTGCCTGTCAGAAAAAAAAAATAGCAGCTGGCAGGATTCAGCACCTAGTTCTTCACTACTAGAAATGTTAATGACTTTTTTTTAAGCAGAGGAAAATAATACAAGATAGAAACTTAGATACGTATACAAGAATGAATGGCACTAGACGTATTAAACATGCCCTAAGTATAAAAAGATTCTCCTCACTTAAAATTTGCCTTTCAAGTAGATAAACAAATCTTTTTTTTTTTTTTAAAGAAAAGATAAAAAATGCAAGAACCAACTCTAAGCTGTCTACGAGAAGCCGACAAGACACACAAAGACACGGAGAGGTCCGGAGTGGAAGGATGGAAGAGCAGATACCATGGGAGGAGGCCTGGGCTGGCTCTGCTGATGTCAGAGGAGTGCGATGCCGGGATAGGAGGCACGCTGCCTGAGGGTTACGGGATCGGCTTATCAGTAAGACGTTCATCCCCTACGGCTACCTGCGCCTGATCAGCAGTCCTCAAAATCCATGAAGCAAAAACTGACAAAGCTAAAAAGACTGAAACAAATCCCAAACTGTAGTTGGAGCTTTCAGTATCCCCTCTTTCTGTGATTAATAGGACAAGTAGATGAGGTCAATATGGAAATAGAGGACTTGCCTGTCAATCAATGTTGCCGATTGACATTTGTAGGAGGTTTTACCCAATGGCAGCAGAATATTCATTCTTTTCAGGTACGCATGGAACAGTCACCAAGATCATATGCAAGGCCATAGGCAAGTCTCAATAAATCTAAAAATACTGACATAGGGAGCTTGTGCTCTGACCTCAATGGAATTAAACGAGAAACCAATAATAGAAATTTCTGGAAAATCCCAGATATTTGGAAATGGGGTTTGTGTGTAACCTGTGAATCGCTCCCTACTGAGTTAAGTGAAAACTCAGCCCTGTGCTGGGTGCTGTATAAACTGTGTCTCACTTCCTCTTCACCGTAACTCCACGAGAGTCGCCAGTGTCACCAACCTCCCGGCGAGGGCCCAGAGCTCAGAGCAGAAACTCTGATCTGTCCACGCCAAAGCCCAGCTCAGGGTCCCTGTGCTCTCCAGTCCCATTCAGGTGGGATTCCCGGAGCTGTGCTGAGTGCCCCCCCGCCCAGGTTGGGGGCAGGGCTGTGTGCTGCTGACCTGTGGCTCCCTCCCCGGCTCTTGGCTCATCCCAGACTTGGCGACAGGAGCCTCCTCCACGGCTTCTCCCATTGGGTGGTCTCTGTGTCTGTCTCCCTGGCAGGTTCACGGACTTGTCTGAGATGCTCAGGCCAAACTCCTCCCAGCCCTCCTGCCTTCCTCCTGGAAGGCTCCCACCCCACTGCCCTCACTCCTGCCCCCTGTTCCCCCTTTGCCCCCTGCCCCCCTGACCCCTGCAGACTGGAACGCTCTGGACCTGTGTCCCTGGGCCCTGAGCTCCTCCCAGGAGCTCTCTTTGTCTTCCTCATTACTTGGGAGAGCCCAGGGCCAGACTGTGCAGTTTCCGTCCCAGTTCAGTGATCTTTCTGAGCGACTTTACCTCCCTGCGCCTCTGTGTCGGCCTCACAGGGGTGGTTGTATTGATCCAGCGAGCTCAGCCCTCGATGAGCGTTAGCTCCTCATTATAATTGTTGTTTTTAAAGATTTATTTATCTATTTGTTTGAGAGGTAGAGTTACAGATAGTGAGAGGGAGAGACAGAGAGGTCTTCCGTTGGTTCACCCCCTAAATGGCCATAGCAGAGAGCAGGACTGGAAGAGGAGCAACCGGGACTAGAACCTGGCGCCCATATGGGATGCCGGCACCGCAGGCGGAGGATCAACCAAGTGAGCCATGGCGCTGGTCCCTATTATTGCTGTTTTTAAAGATTTATTTACCTATTTATTTGAAAGGTAGAGTTACAGACAGTGAGAGGGAGAGACAGAAAGAGAGGTCTTCCATCCCGCTGGTTCACTCCCCTTATGGTTGGAATGGCCGGAGCTGTGCCAATCCGAAGCCAGGAGTCAGAAGCTTCTTCTGGGTCTCTCACATGGGTGCAGGGGCCCAAGGACTTGGGTCATCTTCTACTGCTTCCCCAGGCCATAGCAGAGAGCTGGATTGGAAGTGGAGCAGTCGGGACTCGAACCAGTGCCCATATGGGATGCTGGCACTGCAGGTGTAGGACTAACCTACACCACAGTGGTGGCTCCTCCTCATTATTATTGAATCTCCGTTCTTCTGTCTATGTCTCGCCCATCGGACTGGGAGCTTCCTGAGAGCAGAAGTGGTGTTTCTTCTGTCACTCTATCATCCTGGGAGCTCTCTGGGAGAGAGGCTGTGTTTCCCCTGAAGACAGAGGGCTTGGGGCCGGTGTTGTGGTGCACCAGGTCAAGTCACCACTGTGACACAAGCATCCAAAATCAGAGTGTTGGTTCAAGTCCCGGCTGCTCCACTTCCCATCCAGCTTCCTGCTAACGCACCTGGGGAAGCAGCAGCAGATGGCCCAGGTTCTTGGGCACCTGCCACCCTTGTAGGGACCCAGATGGAGTTCCAGGCTCCTGGCTTCTGGGCCAAGCTATTGCAGCCATTTGAGGAGTGAAGCAGCAGAAGGGAGATTCCACCCCCACCCGCATCAGTCTGCCTTTCAAATAAATAAATAAATGAATAAATCTTTGGGGAGGAGGAAGAGTGTGGGTTCTCTAAGGACAAGCAGTGTGTCTGAGCCACAGGCCCATGCTGCCTCCTCTGTCCGTCTCTCCAGGTGCAGACAGGGGTGCAGGTCCAGGGGGCTCAAGGGAACACCTGGGCAGCAAGCACCAAGCAGGCTGGGCAGCTCCAGGATTGAGGTCTCAGGTCAGCCTCCAGGAAGGGACAAGCTGGGGCGTTCTAACGCCCTTGTGCCGGGGCCTTAGGCCCCATCCTCCTCCTTTCTCTCTCCTGGAGAAGGGTGAGGTGGCGGGGGTCCTGGCTCTGCCACTTGTGAGCTGTGCCACCTTTCTTCCTTGAGTATCTTGGCACCTTTGTGTCCTCATAGGCAGAAGCATCCCAAGAAAGCCAGTTTCTCTGGATAGAGCGCGTGCTCAGTAAGTGCCGGTTGAGTGAGACCAAGCGCACGCCTGTCCTCGCTCTGGGGCTCTGGGAGCTGCATCACCAGCCCTGCCTCTGGTCGGTGAGATGCTAACATCCGTGGGCTGAACAGATCATCGCGATGACATTTAGCTCCTTCCCAGCCTTTAATCCATCCCAGGCACACACTTAAATAAGCACCCAAAATGGAACCCTGGGTAATGCATTCCTGAGCTCCGGTCATGAGAAAATCCCTCTACCATTGCGCCCCCGGGGCTCCCCCTGGCATGCTTTGGCTTTGGCTCGTCCCTGCGGCTGGAAGGGGGAACACAGCATAACTGGCTGGGTCGAGTCGGGTTTGCTTGAGTTCTGGCTCTAGCTCTACTGTCAACCTCTATGGGACCTTGAGATTGAGGCCCTGCTGGGCGCTGGCAGAGGTGCCCAGGCCCCGTGTGCATTGGCCCTTGTCTCACAGCCAGTCGGTGGAGCGGGTGGCAGGCTCCCCATTTCACAGAGGAGAACTCCGGGGCGGGGCACCGGCTCGCACAGCTGGGGAGTGGCAAGTGCATGTGTGAGTCCACGCTGCCCGCAATATGTTGCTGACCCTCCAGGGGCCTCCGTGTCCTGGTGCGAAAGGAAGGAACTGGCCCGGGCATTGTGGAAGGGCCCTTCCGGGCTGGCATGCGGCTGCCACCTGCTCAGGGCCTCTGGAAGCCTCTCCAGACCTTGCTGCTTGGCTCCTGGTCTGGCTCCCCTGCCCTGCCCTGACCTCCCCCTTGGCCTCTCTGCAGCCCTCCTTACCCTGCTCTTGGTGAGTCGCTGCGAGACAAGGAACCAAATGTTTCCCGGCAGTGGGGCGGTGCCATCTGCCGCGTTCCCTGCATAGCTGCCTGTGGGAGCACTGAGCCCCGCCCTGCAGCCCGGGAGCCCCACGCCCGCCCGCATTCCCCCAGCACCAGGCACGACCCGTTTGTTCCTTGCCTCTGCAGACAGATGGCCTCCCGCTGGTCTGGGTGGGGTGGGTGGACTTGGCTCCCAGGCCCAGGGACTCTTCCTTGGCCAGTGCCACGCCTGTGCCCTCAGAGCCCTGACGGGGTCCCCACAGGTAGCCCGTGCTGCCCGTCCTCCCTGTCTGGGCTCCCCGCATAGCTCTGCCTTCAGATCTCCAGCTGCGCCCCCCCCCCCCCAAGCCTGTGCTTTGCTTTTCTACAGTTATGGGTGGGGGCGATGAGGCCATGGTCCAGGGCCCAGCGAGAGCAGACTTCGGAAGGCGCTGTGTGTCGGCTGCTGGGCGCCCACACCTCTCGGTCCAAGTGCAGGGAGCGATGCTTTCTTGGATTCCCCAACCCAGAGCCAGCTGCCTTCTCCACCTTCTGTCACTTGATCGGAGTTGCGTGGTCAGGAAAGCAGCCGGGGCCCAGGGTAGGACTGCCTCACGGTCTCCGCCCTGTCGTCGTCCACATCCACATCAGCGTGCAGGAACTTCCTGTCTCCTGGGCACCGTGACGAGTGCCTTAGTCCCTCCCATGAGCCTAGAAGGTGGTGCTCAGCCTGGGAGCCGTGCCTAAGCAATTTGCTAGAGGTGCTAGTGGGAGGTGGAGGCGGGGTTAGAACCCAGCGGCTCACCCCGGGGTCAGCGGACACTCCCCTTCCCCGAGGTCCAGCACTCAGACCACCGCGCTGGCCGGCTCCTCCTCGGCGTGCGTCTGTGCCGCAGGCACTCGGCAGGTGCACATCGTGACATCACGGATGCTCAGTAGGCACTTGGTGATCAGCTGAGCTGAACCACAGAGTGCATGTCACCGAGCAGTCCCTGCTGCGGTGCTGGGCGGCAGGTCAAGGCCATTGCTGTCCTCGGGGGAGACCTGAGCATCACAGCTCCGTGCTCTGTGGCCCCCGGGTGCATCCCTGGTGCTTTGGCCCTTGGTAGCATCCACTGGGAGAAACCAGGGCGTCATTCCCAGGGGTGTAGGCTTTACTCTAGCAGGGTCAGGGGCTGGATGACCTGCAAGGGGATGCTACATCCTGGCGGGGAGGGGCGTGCCCCATGCCTGGGGCTCTGTTCATTCCAAGACAGGGTTGTTTGAACACCTGGCACAGCGCCATGGCCCGGGGAGGGGTGTGGGCGTGGCCAGTGGTGCTCGGGGCGCCTGCTGACTCTTTTCCACCCCGTGCATGGCTCTTGTCGGCTGTCCTTGCCAGGACTTGGCTCTTGGCCTTGGGGGTTGGGAGGTGGCCTGTGACCTTTGACACCTCCGACTGCCCCCACCCCCAGTTGCTATCCACAGCAGAATCATAGATGCATAAGTGATGAGAGCTGGGAGAATCCTGGACCAACCGTCCCGTTTTAGACAGGAGAAACGGAGAAGCGGGGGAGGAAGTGACTCGCCGGAGGTGACAGATGGCAGAGTGGATGAGCCATATTGGACTTAGCAGCCTGGTGCCTTGTCCTCCAGGGCTGGGGAGTACTTGTTTCACTTGGACTCGTGGTCTTCTGCATACACTCACACCACCCGCACCCGGCGCACACGCACACGCACGCACACGTGTGTGCCTGCACACTCCATCCACAGCCTCCCTCTGCACCTCTCCTTCCAGATCCCCAGTCTCTCACCCCTCGGGCTCTCGCCTGTGCTGCGGGGAGAGGTCTGGGCTGTGGCTTCCCTTCCCTCCCACACAGAGCAGGCAGGGAGCTTCGGCACTTGGAGCTCAGAGGCCTGAGCTGGGTACGCCCCTCCCC